ATGGACGGTTTGTGCACACGCTCGAGCTGAACGCCGACTCTTTGTTTCTCCTGAACACGAACCTGTACAGTAAATGTTGATGTACATAACTTTTGTCTTAAAAAAAACAAAAAAAGAAGCAAAAGAATCGCTGTCGAGTCTTTTGAACATTTATTGTAGTTTTATCTAAAAAGAAAAAAAAAGTTTAAAAAATTGTAATATTTCGTTTTTCTCTATCACTTGTCCCCAAAAAAAGAAAAAAGAAACGGTGTCATCCCTGGATCTTTTTGTAAACACTGTAAAGGTTTGATTCAGTTTCAGGAGGATTTCTGACACAAACACACAACGACCCTCAGAGGACTGCAGAGCAAGGAAGAGGAGGACGAGGACCACCAGAGACCACACACACCTGTCAGGTGAATCATTCTCACGACAACAGAAACATGGTGGGCAGGTGTGAAGCTTGAGGGTTATTACAGAGAATCAAATCGAGTTATTGATCCTGATCGGCTGCAAGAGGCGCTCACTCACCTGATGGTTAAAGGCCTCATGTTCAGGTGTGTTTAACCCTTCAGCTGAGACACTCAGTGTGAGTGTGAGCAATCCTTAAAGATGATCAGATCACCTTTAGTTGCCCCACACACACGCACGCATGCACGCACACACACACACACCCACCGCTCAGTTCAGCATGCAGCCTGATTCGGACTCTGTGTCACGCCGCTGTGAGAACACATGGATGGAAGCTTTGACCGTGTGTGTGCTGCAACATTGATTGATTGAAGACAAAGTTTATGTCCAAACATATTAATAATTTAATCGATTTAAAGCAAACAAAATGATTTCCTACTTCCTGTCGTTTTGTGAATGAGTTAATTACACGACCCTCTGACTCGTTAAGACTAATTGATTAATCCTTAAAAAAACAGCTGATTAGTCGAGAAAATCATAATTGCAGCGTGTGTGTTGGCAGTATGTGTGAACAGACAGATTTCCCTGCGTGTGTTTGTTGAGCCCCTGCGCCTCCTGTGGAGGTTCTTAGACAGCATCATGGGGGGGCGGTCACAGCATAGTGGGGGGTTCAGGCATGTTTGATTCCAGGTGAGATAAAGCAAAGCTGAGGATCCGCCCTCCTCTTCCTCCTCTTCCTCCTCTTCATCAGAGACTAAATGTACAGAGAAGAGGTTTTTTTTTTTCCAGAGACGTATTCTTCATGACCGGGGTTTTCTTATCACTTTATTTATATTTACATATTTGTACCATGTTATCTTTTTTTTAATAGCATCATAGCAGGTAGGTCTCTTTGAATGAACTCTTCATCTCTGTGTTTCTGACGGACATGTCGGTGTTTGTTTCTAAACTGTATTCAAAGGGTATTTTTCTATGTGTTTATCACCTCCTTTAAATGAGTCTGTACACCATTAAACCCCAAAAGCTACCTGCTGCTGTACGTCTGCTTTATTTCATTATAGTCACTCTTTATACACTGATGTGTATGTGGGGAGGGAGGGGGGGTCTTTAGGAGTGTTGATTAGGGCTATTTATATTGAATGTAACTGAACTTAAAGGTGACATATTCTCCTCCTCTTCAGTGTAAATAAGTCTCAGAGCTCATCAAAACATGTGTGAAGTTTCTTGTTCTAAATCCACTCTGATCCTGTATTTAAACATTTCTATAAAGCCCTCTATTTCAGCCCTGCTCAGAACAGGCTGTTTCTGTGTCTGTACCTTTAAATGTAAATGAGCTGTGTCTGACCACGCCCCCTCTCTGGAAGGGCTTGGGTGGCTCTGACTTTCTTGCTCCATGTCCTATTGACCCAATCTCGATGTCCACCCTCACACACTCACTGACTTTGGTGCCAGTAAGTCTGTGAGGGCTTAGTGCTGTCCCACTGTCAAATCTTAAAGTGTTTGAGGGATCTCTCGCTGACTTTACGAGCTCTTTATGCACCCTGTCCGTAAGTGGATATATATATATATATATATATATATATATATATATATCTGCAGACTTAGCGTGAGGGAATTGCCCAGAGTTCAAAGCATTGAGATGTGAAACAAGATTCCCTGGGGAAGCCCACAACAATTGAAAGGTAAACAAACACCATAAAACGTAATAAAGGTAGAGTAAAAAAGCAGGAAGGTGAAACCACGCTCTATTTACAGTCTACCATTTGGAAACTACAGCGAATTCAGAACTCCTCTGCAAGTCTATAAACAAAAACAATAGAGACAGCGATCACATTAGTCCCATTATAAAAGATAAACCATTGTTTTCCTAAAATGAAGAAATGTATATATTAAGTATAACTTTTGATGCGAGCCATGTCTGTAAGAGAGTACATTAAAAAATCTTAAATAAGTTCTTGCCACGACATGTAGTCATGGTTACAGAGAAGTTGCAAAGTTCTGTCCCATTTGTATTTGACCATTGGAGCCCTCATGCACTCAATCACTTTTCAGATGACGTCAATAAAGTCTGTAAGGGCTCAGGGTTTAGGGAGGACATTGAGATTCAGCCAATGTTTACGGTAGGAAGGCAGACTCAGAGGGCAGAGCAAACACCTAGCTGAGGGAGTGTCACCCACCTGGGGGAGGGGTTACTGCCCTTTGTCATGTCATGAAGGGAAAATCTCCAAACAGCCTGTTTGAGCACACATTTTCTGAAGAGTTGGCAAAAGACGGAGAGGATGGACTTTTCTCATCATTGGGGGGGGGGGGGTGTAGACGGACTATAGGGACACATACTAGTGTTAGAGAAACATGGTGAAGAGGATTTTACAGAATATGTGACTTTTAATACATATGAAAGATGACCAAGCCATCGGGAACACCTGAGCCCCTTTTCAACCAAAGGGCCCCAAAACTGAAAGTTACAGGGCTTTCTCCTCAAGGACCTACAAGTTTCCTGTGGCCCATAGTTGTCAGCATTTCCACGGTTGCCTGAAGTCTAGGGACGATTATGCAAATTAGGCTGTATGGCATTTCAAATTGATTCACGAGTGCCCAGTTTCCTGTTTCACACTTGTTCCTGTGGTCAAAAGGGGACCTGGTCTACTCTAAAATGTAGCAGAATCACCTCGACCCGATCTGACCTGTATTTGCTCTTCTATGGGCCAATCACCAGCCGGGACAGGTGAGGGGTGCATTGTAAGCTGCAGGTGTCCTCCTATCACATAAGGGGGGAAAAACAGACCAGATGTCTAGACCACATTGGACCAGGTCTTGATCCAGAACCAAGGCTTCACTAATCTGAAACAGTGTTCTAAAAAGTCTGAAGCCTCTCTGAGATAATCTAGTCCTGATGTGTAAGGTCTAAATCTGGAGGTTCTGGATCAATCTGGTCCAGAAAGAAAGGGACAAAAGAAGTGAAATCTCTCTTTTTGCATTTTTACAAATAAAAAAAAAGTTTCACAAACTTGAAAGTTGGTTTTATAAAGTACCATGGGGTTCCTAAAAAGACTGACACGCTTCATACTTAAGTCGAGACTACTTCAACTTTCCACATTAACTGCTGAAGAGGGAGCTAACTTCAGCATCGTGGGATGATGTGTAGTGAGCACGTTGTCCTCCCCGGACTGCACAAGCAGAGGATTATCATGTTTATGTGACTCCCTGCAACCAAATTTACCTACGAGTACAAATAAAGGAACCTGTACCTGAGAAATGTAAAGAGGCAACCTGACAACTGCTTGAGGCCCCAGGCCAGTAGGGGGCCCCCAAGGGCTGACACACTTTAAACTGCAGAGGCTCAAAATGTGCAAAGTGGAGCTCAGACTGTCAGCACCCACTCTACTTCTTGTGCAGTATTCCTGTGAAAACCGAAGTTTGACACTTAGAGCAGCGGCTTCATAGTGTCGGTTTGGTTCTTTAAGACAGATGTTCAGCGTTAGGATAGATTCAGTGTTTTGTTCTGTTCTTTTATTTGTATATTTTTAAGCTTTTTACATTGAATACATTTAATTGTTCTATACAGAGCAGAGCATGTTGCTGTCGCTGTCACCTCACAGCTTAAAGTCTCAGGTTTACATTCTGGTTCAGCCAAGAATGAAAACAGTGTGACAAAAGTTAAAAAATCCAAAGTGGGTCGCCGGTGGCCTAGCGGTTGTGTCACGTGCTTCATGTGCAGTTGTGGGTTTGGGTCCGCCCTCTGCCCTTTGCTGCATGTCTTTCCCAGCTGTCCTACTTAATGAATGTAACCCTAAAATGCCAGACTCATGTAATCAAACTGGAATTTAAAGGGTTGAATTTCTAAAAATGATTGAATGTTTGGTAGTTTTGAGCAGGGCTGAAATTGTTTAGGAGATGTATGTAGAAAGAAATATCAATCTGTTCTATTTTTATTGCAGTTTTTTGGAAGTGGACATTTTTGTCCTTAATGACTGAAGAGGGTAGTAAAAATGTTTCACAGTGTTCTATTGCTCTATTAAAAAAAACTTTCTTACAAAAATGTGTGCCATATGCACTAACACAGACAAAATGATGGCCAGATAAAGAGGAAACATTTGCCCAAATGGACTAAAATGTCCATAATGATGCATGAGGGAATAGCAAAAAAAAAAACTCGATATACTGCCTTTGCCCTCTAAACATGACTGTAGGGACAGGCAGTGGTTTCCAGGAGTCAATATAACTGGTTAAAATTAAAAATTAAATAAACTCTGAAGTCACATCAGGCTAGGGGCGTTTCTGTAGAATGACCGTGTTATGCTTAAAGGCCAATCAGAATCAAGTATACAACACAGTCATGTAATATTAATAATCATAATAAAACCGTATTATATCCTTTCCTCAGCTCTGTCTGATACATGTTTCTACATGTTTCTTATTTTTACAGTCTATGTTTCTGCCATGTTGTCTCCCCGCGCTCTCCTGGCTGCTGTCACTCATAACCTCTCCTCCACGTTCGTGTCCTCCTCCCTCTCTGTGACTCAGGCTGCCTCTCATTGGTCAGTTCAGATAACAGGGGGCGGAGCCAGAGGGGAATTCCCCCCTGACCGTCTGCTCTAACAAATATCTCTACTGCTGGGCTGTCAGTCATTCAGAGCGAGCCTCTGCACTGACACACACACATACGAACACACACACACTCACAGAGAGACGTATAAACAGAGACAGCATCATGGACGGTGAGTACAAACACTTTTAATTTATTTACAACGACTCATGATGAATATAATCATGTTCAGACTCTGTGTTATTTATCTTTGTCTTCGTGTTCAGCAGCATCAAAGTTTAACTCTTTCAGTTCAAATCTGTTTATTAGAGTCAGCAGCACACACACTTCCTTCTCTGTGTCCTGATGTGATGTTACTGAATCAGCTCTCACACACACACACACACACACACACACACACACGCACACACACACACTGTGACTTGAAGGTTTATAATTAATCTTTAACTGTGTGTCCTCAGTCCTGCTGCCCTCCATGCTCGAGGATCCGAACCTCTGTGAGTACTCAAACACGTCTGCACACGTCCTACAGTCAGTGAACGCAGCACAGCCTCTTCACTTCTCCTTTTTCTTATAAATCTGAGTGTGTGTGTGTGTGTGTGTGTGTGTGTGTGTGTGTGTGTGTGTGTGTGTGTGTGTGTGTGTGTGTGTGTGTGTGTGTGTGTGTGTGTGTGTGTGTGTGTGTGTGTGTGTGTGTGTGTGTGTGTGTGTGTGTTGCACTCATATGAAAGCAGGTTCAGCTGAGCAACATGATCTATTTATGTCTAATCATGTCAGAAATGTGACAGGACTCGTTTGATAAGATGTGTGTCTCTGTGTGTGTGTGTGTGTGTGTGTGTGTGTGTGTGTGTGTGTGTGTGTGTGTGTGTGTGTGTGTGTGTGTGTGTGTGTGTGTGTGTGTGTGTGTGTGTGTGTGTGTGTGTGTGTGTGTGTGTGTGTGTGTGTGTGTTCAGTGTTGTATCAGTTTTAGTTCCTCTCTCTCAGACCTGATGTTCAGCTTGTTTCTCCGTAAACACAGACTCTCTCTCAGACTCGTTCAGATATCTAACAAGTCTTTATCTGACGCTCAGACTCTTTTCTGTTTACGCAGAACAGCTGAACTGAAAACACTCACACTGTATGAACACATATAACACTCCATATGAATACCTCTAACTCGTACTCAAACGCAGACAGTGCAGCTGAGATGCAGAAGTAAAAGAGGAAGTCACTGAGTTTATTATTGAAGACAAAAAGGAGAAACGAGCGCTCATCGGTGTTTCCTGTTTTTTTTTATTCGGGAGGGACAGAAAATGCTCAGATTCAAAAAACGGTTTCTAGGAGACGTCTTTTCTCTCGCAGTCATCCTCAGCTCTTTTGTTTGTCGTTGACACAAACTTTATTGACAACATACAAACAGAACATGAAGTCTAAATACACCATCTTGTAGAAATCAGATTGTCTGATTATTTTCCTGTTTAAAAAGTTGATAAAAATCTTCAGATCTTCAGTCATGATTTAAACCAAAAGCTGCTGTGAGAGAAAACACAGACAGCACTGTGTATAATTCAGATATGTTGTCAACCTGTTTGTGCAATTTGGAGGTTGCTGTGCTTTTTAAAGATGTTTGTCTGCAACTTCTGGTGCTTTAAAAAGATAAATTAACCGACACTGGGGGCCCTCAATCAGAGAATCATCAAAGTTTACTTTATGTTACTTTAAGACATTTAATTGTGAATCAAAATCTTTGTAATTAATGTTGTGCTGTGATTGAGTTCAGTATACTGCCAGGGATTATTTAATCTCAAAATCTTTGTGATTAACTGAGTTTATGTTTCATCATGTTTGCAAATATGTGATGCCTTTCCGTCCGTCTGTTTGACCTCTCCGCTCTCATGGTGCCTTCACTGTCCATCTCTGCATCCTATCTGCTCCATTGGTGCCTTCACTGTCAGTCCCATCCTGTCGCTTATCATGATGCCTTCACTGTCCGTCTCATCCTCTCTTCTCTCATGATGCATTTACTGTCAGTCTCATCCTCTCTCCTGTCATGATGCCGTCACGTCAGTGTCATCCTGTCTTGTCATGATGCCTTCACTGTCTGTCTCATCCTCTCTCTTGTCATGATGCCTTCACCGTCTGTCTCATCCTCTCACGATGCCTTCACTGTCCCTTGTCCTGTGCAGTGGCAGAACCAGCGGTGCAGATCTTCGAGCAGCCGAAGCAGAGAGGAATGCGTTTCAGGTATAAGTGCGAGGGTCGCTCAGCAGGAAGTATCCCGGGAGAGAAGAGCAGCGACAATAGTCGGACCTACCCAAGTCTGCAGGTGAGAAACATCTACCTCCACACACACACACACACACACACACACTTTACTGAACACACACACACACACACACACACACACACTTTACTGAACACACACACACACACACACACACACACACACACTTTACTGAACACACACACACACACACACACACACACACACTTTACTGAACACACACACACTTTACTGAACACACACACACACACACACACACTTTACTGAACACACACACACACACACTTTACTGAACACACACACACACACACACACACACGCACACACACACACAGGTTCATGGTACAGCTGCTGGTGCATCAATGATCCTAATATACTCCTCCTCCTTCTAAATCTTCTCCTCTTCCTCCTCCTCCTGCTCCTCCTTGTTCTCTCCACTCTCCCCTTCTCCTTCTTAATTTCATAATCCCCCTCCCTTTCTTCCCATTCCTCCTTGTCCTCCTCTCCTCCTCTCCTCTCCTCTCCTCTCCTCTCCTTCAGATCTTGAACTACAGCGGTAAAGGAAAGGTGAAGGTTTACCTGGTGACGAAGAACGAGCCATACCGCCCTCATCCTCACGACCTGGTGGGGAAAGACTGCAAAGACGGATTCTACGAGGCCGAGTTCGGACCTGACCGTCGAGTAATCGCGTGAGTACAAAACAGATGACAACAACAACAACAACAACAACAAAAACAGTTAACAAGAACAGCACAACATAAAACAATAAAAACAAAACAGCAACAAGAGAACAAAGCAACAACACATCCCATTAAAAACTTTAGAAACAAAATAATAAAAATCACAACAAAGTGTTAACAAATAAACAGAAGAACAACAAACAACATCAACACATCTGTGTGTTACAGTCAGACATTCACATGAACAAACTCACACACACACACACACACACACACACACACACACACACACACACTGGAACTGGCAGACTTCAGTGATGTCACCCGGGGAATTCCCATAACACCATCCACATCACAGACATGATCTGACAAATATGCTGTGTGTGTAGTGTGTGTAGTGAGTGCGTGTGTGTGTGTGTGTGTGTGTGTAATTATAAATCCTGGTTGTTGTGCAGTAAATTCAGATTATTGAAGTCTCTGAGCTGAGTGTCTCTAAACTTCATGTGTGTGTCAGACATGAAGAAGAAGAAGAGGAGCACACCTTCCTCAGGTGTGTTTGGTTACACACAGTCAGCTGATTACACTCCCGTCTTCTTCTTCAGTTTTCAGAACCTGGGTATTCAGTGTGTGAGGAGGAGGGAGGTGAAAGACGCCATCATTCAGAGGATGACGAGGAAGATCAACCCCTTCAACGGTGAGTCCTCCTCACTCTGTCCTCATGTCACCTGTCGTATGAACACCTTCACACAGAAACACATGACAGTCTTCACAGCCGGATGTGGGAGTTGTTCTGGATAAAGTTTACAGATGTCTCTTCAGTAAAGTAGCTCTGACATTTTTGTACTTTTGTACCGTTTTGAGATGCAGGATTGTATTGTGCTGCAATACCTCAAGTGGCCACTGGGGGACAAGTGGTCCGGTTCAGTACGGTACCTGTGTATTGGCGTTTCCACTATTAGAAGTTGGGAATGGGACCAAAATAACGGATTGGTGGAGCTAAAGGGTGGAGCTAGACACAGTGCAGTCCGTTGATTGGTCGAAAGAATCGTCACTTCCCGCGCGACAGCGGTAATACAGGACAGACACAAAAGGGCGCTAGGTGTCCTCTCAGATAATTCAGTCCCTGACCTTTAACCTCTGGGTCGTGTTTGTGCTGTTGGAGTCTTTTGGAGATTTGTTCATGTAAATATCAGACTAATAATCTGTCTCTCTCTGTGAGCTTTATTGGACTAACAGACCGTCCAACAAGTCTGATCTCCACTTTTAACAACCAGACACATTAGAACTTTATTATAGCTCACTAATAAGATTTTGGCAAGCAAGCAGAGCGTGTTACTTTACTGTCACTTTGCTGCAGTGTAGTGTAGACAGACAGTGTGTGTTCAGGTGAGCTATGCAGCTGTTATAAAAGATGTTGTAATTTTTACGGTTCAACATGTTGAGATCATTTCCAGAGAACAGTCCTCATTGCTGCTTTGACCCAGTTCTCAGCAGTCTGTGCCATAAAGTCACAGATTTTCTTTTTGGTTTGGACCACAGTGTGTGTGTGTGTGTGTGTGTGTGTGTGTGTGTGTGTGTGTGTGTGTGTGTGTGTGTGTGTGTGTGTGTGTGTGTGTGTGTTAAAGCTGCTTCCTGTGTGTTCTCCTTCTCTGAGCTCGTCTCTGCAGACAGACGGCGTCCTCGTGTACAAACAGGCGCTCAGATACTTCCTCATTCCTGGTTCACAGTTTCTCAACATAGCAGAGAGCAGGAGGCCACGTGAGAGCTGGGAATACAGGATTCATTAAGTGGGGGGGGGGGCGTGAGGGGTTGGGGGTTCCCCGGCTCTCTCAGAGGAAGATAGCAGCTTTACAGACCCGTGAACAGGCCTGATCTAGAGCTCGATGCTCTCGGTATTTATTGTGTCTCTAATCTGATGGTTTTATCTAAATCAAACACTTTGTTACGTAACAGGCTAATTGGCACGTTAGCTCATCCAGCTACATTAACCCAACATCTGCTCAGTGTTCTCTTTTTAACACATGTTGTTCAGACCTGAGACCATTAGATTCTGAAAACACTGCACACATAAACACACAATTACACACTCAATGTACACAGACACACTGCACACAAAAACACACACATGCAACTGTACATAGACACACAAACCACTGCCCATACTAAGACACACAAACCTGCGCACACATCAAGCAGCACACTACACACGCATGCACAAAATACATACACACACACACACACACACACACACACACTGTACCGACACACTTAAACACTGCCCACATTACTACACACACACTGTATGTATACACACAAACACTCTACACACAAACATAAACCCTTTTCACACATACGGAAATCTCCTGAAAAACTCTGGAGATTTGGCTACCTGGAGGGGATTTAACTTTGTAGATAATCAGTAAATTGTTTCAGTTAGCCAATAAGCAGAAATGTCAGAGAAGGTCTTGTTTCATTCTGTTAAACATCAGGATCTAATGAGGGTGAATAAAAAGTCTCTGGATCAGGGCTGTTTGAGAAAATAAGGAGTTTGAAGACATCAATGTGTTGACCTTAATCTCCGGTGAAAAATGTTCTCTCTCCATCCACTCTCTTCAGAGGTCAGTTCTCTAATGAGTCTGGCTCTGATCGAGGTTTTTCTGTCTCAAGCTGGATACATTTTGGGTGTCTGTAAAGATTATACAACAAAGAGTACTCCCCCATCATTACACCTAAAGACATTCATATTGATTCTGCAACGGGGTGATAGTGGTGTCCCAGTCTGAGAATTGAGAGCACGGCAGGAGCTCCTCACACACACAGCGCTCCACACGCCCCCGCTGGCTCTGCGCATCCAGTGTCACCGCGTAACGCCTCTGTTACTACGTCTGAAGTCGGTACAGAGGGCCGATCACTTTGCCATCCCACCCATTACGCCTCCGTAACATTCATATTGAAGGCAAAACGTCACAGCAGTCTGAACAGGGCTAGTGAAAATGTGAGTCACTGAAGCTGTTTGCGGTTAAGCTTCCTCCTACCAATCAAATTCTGCTCACACACTCACTCTGCACACACTCACGCACTCACACTACTCACCCTAAACCCCGGCTGTGTGTGAAGGGAACTCTTTAAAGCCGAGATTTTAAGTCGTTAAGCTTTGGAGGAGCTGCTAAGCTAGCTGTGTCCCTCTGATTTTAGCCTTTATGCTAAGCTAACATGCTGCTAACATGATGTAGCAAAGCATTTAAGATAGTGGGTGTTAATCTCCTGTCCTGTCAGAAAGAAATAAAAGTATATCACCCTGTTTGTGTAGAGAATCCTGCAGCTCAGACAGACAGAAAGTTGTGAGTCTGAAGTTTCAAACACTTCTGTTATATTTTATCACATTACATACACGACATGTAACAGAGTTCATAGATAGTCTTCTTGTCAGAAATGCTCACTCTGCATTGGAGATGTTTGGAAACTAACTGTTCGCTGCTCCTCTGAGGATTAACTTCAGATTTAAAGACTCGTAACCCGATGACCAGTGAGAGCACTCAGACTCGAGCCTGCAGAAGAATATTGTCTTTATTCTGCAACCCTGAGGTGGAGGAGTCCACCTTCGCTCTCACACAGTCTGTGTGTCTAGCGTTTATTTGTGTTGTCCAGGTCTTAATCTAAAATGTCAGAAACACAAAGTTTAAGAGCTGAGATGTTTCCCACAACTTTCACACACGTCAGGAGCACCGTGGTCACCTCCTGCTCACACACACACACACACTCTTCTTTCCACCCTGAGGTGACGTCTCAGAGCGTCACCTCAGTGAGAGATAGAGAATGAGAGCTGGAGGAAGAGAAAGTGGGCAGATGTGAAAGCTGATGTGTGTGACTGACACTCTGTATGTGTGTGGGCGTCTCTCAGTCAAAGGTGTGTGTTTGCATTTTGCCTGTGAGGGTGGTGAATGTGACGCTAGTGTATGTGTGTGTGTGTGTGTGTGTGTGTGTGTGTGTGTGTGTGTGTGTGTGTGTGTGTGTGTGGGCAGAGGATCGCGGCTGTGACGTGTTTGTGTTGGTCCAGAGTTGTGGTTTGGAGACGTCCTACAGATGTGACAAACATGAGCGACAGAACACCAGAGAAAATAAAAGTTCATATCTATCGTGAATGTTCTTTTTCATTATATTTACATCATTGTAAACGTGCTTTGTAAAATGCTTGATGCCTGCTAATGACACCGTGTGATACAAGTTGAGTATTGAGTGGATGACATCATTTGTGATGAACATATATTTACATATATGAAGTAATCTTTTTTCAGCCCTTTGGCCTTTATTAGAGAGGACAGCTGAAGAGAGACAGGAACTGTTGGGAGGAGAGAGAGGGGGATGACATGCAGCACAGTGCAGAGGTCGGACTCGAACCCACGGCCGCTGCAATGAGAACTGAATCAACTTTATTGTCTATCCTAAAAGTGACAGAAATTCTCCTTTGACAGGGCTCCACGAATCAATCAATCTTTATTTGTGTAGCGCCAATTCAAAAACAAAAGAGCACATACAATAATAATAATCTGCAGGAAGGATTTCTCCTTTGTATTCCTCGCGTTCCTGTTGTCCAGGCTTCCTTGCAGCTGAGGTGGAGGTCGGAGCAGGCCGTGCATGAATGCGGACGGCGGTGGTTGAAGGACGACACAGTCCGATGGACAATAAACACGACTTACATTAAAAGGGGAATGTTACAAACAGCGGCCCCTAACCCTAAGCCTCTGGACATGGGGCGTGCAACATGTCCAGAGGTGATTCTAGTCAAGTCAAAAATGAATTGGGGGAGGGGGGGGTCCTCCAACCAGCGTTCAGCAGGGCAATGAGAGTGAATGCTGTCCGATGGGGCCCCCCTAAGGGAGGTTTCCTACTGTCATTCCAAAATTTTCACATTATGGGTCGCTGCATTATTTTTAAATTTTCTCAGCCCTCTTCTCGTCTAGGGCCCCAAGTAGTTGCCTGTTGACAAGCAGCACCTCTGATAACCGCTAGGCCATCCAGCGCCCTGATACACATTTATTGGCGTGTGAGTCTCTCTGCTGGTCTGCATGTTTCACACCTGTTGTCGTACGTCTCTGTAACACATCATCTCCAATGAATCTAAAATAACTCTGAACATCTTCAACACAACGTTCTTCAAACACATCTTCAGCCAGCCTCACAGTCACATCATGTCTGTTTAATTTTTTTCAGATTGTCTTTGAGAATGAAACTATGATTTGATGACTAAAACCAAAAGCCTTTCAACCACAGCAGAGATGTTCAAACTGAAACAATCATTAGAGTGATCTGACCCTTTAATGACTGAACGCATATTCTGTGACGGAAGTTATAACGTCGTTCACCCAGATACTGAAGCGTGTGTGTGTTTGTGTCCTCAGTACCACAGGAGCAGCTGCTGCAGACGGAGGAGTACGACCTGAACGTAGTGCGTCTGTGTATCCAGGTTTACCTGCAGGATGAGAACGGACAGTACACCAGAGCTCTGAACCCCATCGTCACCAACCCCATCTATGACAACCGTGAGTCCGTTACACCTCTATGCTAACTGCTAACACCGTCCAAATATGTAGGGTGTTAATACTCCGGATATAAGCTCCAATATAAGTCCCCACAAATATCTGTAAACACGTTGCCAAGGCTGTTACTGTTTTAACCAAGAGATAGAGAGTCTGTACGTGTGTCAATCAATCTCGGGATTGCTGCTGTTGCTTAGCTAGCCTAGCTTATCATGCTAACAGGACCTGCAGGTAGGCGAGGAAGTCAGTGTTTTCCAAAGAGCTCCAGGAGAGTTACAGCTTCCTTCAAAAAGTACCAGGCATTTTTGCCTGGTATGCTATATTTTGCACACACTGCACGGTGAAAACACCAACATACAAAGCCATATAAAAACAAGCAAACACAAACTGTGGGAATGAACTACTTAAGTGAGGCAGCTCAGGAGGAAACCTTTACCTACCACCTTGTGTGACCAGAGCTGGCCACTGATCTGTGGATCGATACAGGGTTTGCAGTTAAACTAAAGTGTCCTGATTTGGAGTACAAATATGGTGCTAATAGCTGCTATTACAATGCTAACATACTGCTAACACTGCTACAGACTGCTAAGACTGACAACACGTTCACACTACCGTCATGTTGGCCAATCACAAGAGATGAGAACTTTATGAAACTGACATGTGATCACCTGACGGTAACTCAGGCCGCTGAGGTCAGTTGTGAGATTACGTTATGTTCAAAAAAAGCAGTGGACATGTTTCTAATATTTACATCATCCGACATGATTTCCTGAAATGCACTGAGTCCTGCTGTCTGAAATAAACCTGAAAAAATGTCACCATGTTGCACAAGTGTTCGAAAAAACAGATTGTGCTGGGAGTACCTGTTGCAAGCTTTTATTTCAACACCTGTGTGCAGGATTTCTGAGCCCCATGAGACGATATCTCATTAAAACCTAAAACAACAGCATCAGCCAATCCTGCAATATTACTATAACTACACCTCCACTGAACACACAACCCATTAAAAGCTTTAAACTATGGTCCAGAAAGGTCCTCCTTTAATACTTTCTGATACTTCACATTTTAATGATAGCACCAAAGCCTTAAAATAAATCTCTGTCTAAATCTATTTCATAAGAAAGGTGTGTAAGAGAGGAGTGAGTCCATCATGTTTGTCAACTCATTTGAGCAATTAGGACAGTTTGCAGGAGTTTTTGGTAATCAATCACTTGAAATCATCTAGTCATCATCCCTAGTCTGTCTACAAACCCCCCAATAATGAGAAAAGTGCATCCTCTCCGTCTTTTGCCTGCTCCACTTTTCAGAAAATGTGTGCTCAAACAGGCTGTTTGGAGATTTTCCCTTCATGACATCACAAAGGGCAGTAACCCCTCCCCCAGGTGGGTGACACTCCCACAGCTAGGTGTTTGTTCTGTCCTCTGAGTCTGCCTTCTCACTGTAAACAATAGGACATGGAGCGAGAAAGCCCGAGCCACCCAAGCCCTTCCAGAGAGGGGGGTGTGGTCAGACACAGCTCATTTACATATTTAAAGGTACAGACACAGAAACAGCCTGTTCTGAGCAGGGCTTAAATAGAGGGGTTTATAGACATGTTCAAATACAGGATCAGAGTGGATTTAGAACAAGAAAGGAGGAGAATATGTGACCTTTAAATAACTTTAACTTTCTGTTACACCTTTAAAAACTCACTTTGCATTTTAAATTAAATGATAACAATTAATTCGACTTTGTAATTTATGTTTTATGTTGTTTTTATTGTAAGAGTTAAGAAAGTTAATACTTATATTCATTCATTCTGCCCATTTCACCTTTACTGTGAAAAATCAAAACAAAATCTATATACAGTATATTTATTTCTGGCAAAATAAGGGCCTTGGGGGCCCTGGTAGTCCGTCCCTTTTTCTCCCTACTATGACGCCCATGCCTGTGTTTATGACCTGGTGCTTATATGCTTGCAAATAACTCCTGAAAACATCCTGAAATTTTTCGGGGTGAGCGAAACCACCACCAGTGAGCAGGAGGGGGTGATGATGAGCATAGCCTACGACCAAAGACTGTCTGCATGCCAGAGGTGTGATCCCTGTGCACGTAATCAAACTGCTTTATTATGTTTTCCGTTCTCCAGGATGTTATCTGCTCTTTAGTTTATATTGTGAATGAGTTGAACTACACACAGCATTGATATAGAGGCACGATTCACAGAGTCGGACTGTGTTCCTTCATCCAACACTTCTTTTGACATAGTGTCTCCTGAGGAACCCCCCCCTCCGCCTGTCGGACGGGTATCGTCTCCCGCTGTGAGGTGCATGTGTGAACAACTAAATCAGGAAGATCTCAGGGTCAGCCTGCCTGAAATTGTTTAGAAATGTTCATGTAAGAAAATGGCGTAGTTGTGTCAGTAACAGTGTTGCACGCTGTGTACTAGTTCAGTGTTCCTCACACACACAAAAAGAGGAAGTTCTTTATACCCACTAACCCCCCAGCAACACGGTTACCATGGAGCACTTCCTCTTCTCAAAGCAGTCATCTGACTTACCCTGAGTGTGGTCGCTCCCTGAGGTTAATATTGAACCGGGTTAGACTGAGAAACTAAAGATTCACAACATCAAATAGATCGGACACAGACACATTCTGATGTCAGACTAATGAAAACATGTTTCTTTATTCTAACAAACGCTAAGAACATTAAAATGACCCTAAAAAGACTTCAGTCTGACCCCTCCCATATCTAAAAAATAATTAATTACTTGGCGGTTGAAACTGGGTATCTTACAGCACCACTATGTGGAGACTACAGCTAACTTTCTGTTAAGATTATTTCCCATGATGCAACTGGTGGAAATTTACAACCACAAAGACTGACACTTGGGCTGAAACAGAAGGAGCTTTTTGTTTCACTTACCTGCTGTAACAGACAGCAACGTTTCAGATCATGAGGAAAACGTCTGTTGGAGTTATACCAGGATATGTCTGGAGAGGGCGCTAAACATCTCGTTCTGTAAATCACGCCATAGTCTCCCGATATGAAACCAGGAATTTTAAAAGATGGCTTCAAGCCTCAATGTAAGCTGTTAAAACCTCTTGCACAGGCTCCCTTCTCCCAGCACTGGGGAGCAGCCCTCCCTTGGCAGCCCTGCAGCGTTCTGCCCCTGCGTGAGGCTTCCAGAGAGCTGGCCAATCAGAAGAAAGAGGGCATGTGGAGAGGGGGGTCTTAAGGAGACAGCAGCTGAAACAAACCTGAAATGAGGGTTTTTACTGATGCCAGTATCAGATAAATAATGAGTTTTTTGAGCTGCAAATCATACAAAGCTCCTCTAAAGGTTTCACAGACTGACAACATCAAAGGTATAAAGTGCTTCAATGTATGACTTATTAACTTGTGTGTCATCAGGAGCCCCGAACACAGCCGAGCTGAGGATCTGTCGGGTCAATAAGAACAGCGGCAGCGTTAAAGGAGGGGACGAGATCTTCTTACTGTGCGACAAAGTCCAGAAAGGTGAATACCATCAGTGTTCTTTGAAAATGATTTATACTTTATTTCACTGAAATGTTAGCTTAAATCTGTTTTCTCTCCGTTCATCTCCATTCATCTTCATTTTACGGTTCATATGTGTAGCACCGTCTCTTTGCATGATCAGTCAATTTTTCGCACTTGTATTCCATCATCACTTCCCCCAGACGACATTGAGGTGCGATTCTTCTCCTCTGACGGCTGGGAGGCCAAAGGCTCCTTCTCTCAGGCTGATGTTCACCGTCAGGTCGCCATAGTCTTTAAGACTCCGTCCTACTACAACACCTCCATCGTCGAGTCCATCACCGTGCAAATGCAGCTACGTCGACCCTCTGACCAGGAAGTCAGTGAACCATTGGACTTCAGATATCTGCCCGATGACAAAGGTGAGCAGAGATCTCCATCTGGGTGTGGAGATAGTTTTCAGGTAAACTGGGGCCTTTTTTTTTACATTGTACATTTACGTTGTTTCCTCTTTAGATCCTTACGGCTACAACGAGAAGAAGCGCAAAAGAGAAAACCTGATGAGGATTTCAGGACTGCCCGGTAAGTGATACAGCACTCTGTATATAAACTTCAACTCACCATGTAAATGTTTTTAGCATGTCCTCCACATGACTGTAGTGTAACAAATGGTTTTGGACCTTCTTCAGGTGGTCCTTTCGCTGGTCTATCCATGAACAGGCCCAAGGCTTTCCCTCAGAGTACCATGGGTCACATGAGGAAAGGTAACTGCTTTAATTTTGTGTCCCTGAAATAACAACAATGGTTAACCACAAACAACATAATTATCCAGCACTGGGTTGCAGCAGCTCTGCAAAAGTTCAAATGTAGCGTAGTTTGAGATGAACCTTACGTCTCTCTGGTGCCACCAAAATGGGTTTGATGTAGACTTTACAACATAACTTGAGACAGAGCTTATACAGAGCTGCTGCAACAGGACACTGATCAGGATGAGTCTACGCTGAAATCTCACTAAAGTCTCCTTGTGTCTTCAGCAGACATCAGCGGTCTTTACCTGAGGCCGCAGCACACACCTATGATGCACCAACAACAGGTATTCAACCAGCAGTACCAGCCGGCCCCTCACAGTGTCATGATGCCATCTCAGGGTCCTAATGTTCCTGTCAGCCATCAGTGGGCCAACCCCAATCCCCCCATCTCCATGGAAACAGTCACCATCAGCCCATCCGGTGCCGTGAACAACCTGTCCCATCCTAACTCCAGGCCACAGCCAAGCCGTGGACCCAGTATCCCCCAAAGAGTAGAGCACAGCTTTGAGAATAACTTTCTCCCTGAGCTCTCCATGACTGACCTGCAGTGCTTGGAACAACAGGCACCTGGACAGAGCCAGCAGGAGTCTCAGACCCTCTTCCACCTGCAGCAACAAAGGCCGGGGCTCCCCTCTGAGCTACGGACCCAGAATCACCCACAGAACCAGAACCAGAACCAGGGTCTCGAGACTGGATGGCCCAATTTCAATCTCATCAATTCTGTCCAAAACCCGTTTAATGGGTCCGTACCTGGAGGTGGAGGGGGCTCACAGGGTCAGGGCTCTTTCCCCTTCCTGGAGGGAATTGAAGGGGAGGATTTCCTGAAAGGTCTGGTGGGAGGAGATTCTCAGGCCGGCTTCCATTTAAAACAAGAGCCACAGGTACTAGAAAACACTGCTCCTGTCATGCACTCCCCGAGGGAAAGCCAAAGGAACACCTACACCAACCTGCTCCCCCGTCCAGCCAGCAATGGCACCAACTTGGATCCAATGAGGAGCGGGAACACACAGCCCCTCAAAAACCTGCACAATCCTGATGGCCACTATCCGACTCTGGCTGACTACATCAAGTCAACTCGACAAAGTAACTGAGAAGAGCTGCTTCCATTAATTGAACAGGAACAGCCCTAAGGACGGAGTTGGTCTAATTCTTCCCTGTAGAGGGAGACATCCAGCTTTTTCTGGTCAAAATCTGAGTCTGCATACTCTGGAGGCACCAGGTCGCGTTTTTACACCAGTAGGAATGAGATCAGAGCTATGATCACAAAGTCGTATCAATAACCAGACACAGGAAGTGTTAGAAGGTGAACCTTTTAAGATGGATGGTTTGTTTTCTTACAAACACATCACACAGAATTCTTCAGGAGTTTTAGAAACATCACTTTACGCTGATGATATCCTGTTCTATCTTTTTCATCAGTTGTACGCTGATGATATCCTAGTCTATCTTTTCCATCACTTGTACACTGATGATATCCTTATATTATGTAAATCCAATGACAAACAAACTGTCAGAATGGGTTTCCCAAAGAATGACGCTGAACCTGAGTGGAGGAGTTAGCGTACAAGGGTTGTAACCTTTTTTTGCTAGCCTAGCTTATATTTGAATGCTAGGTTTGTATAGATACATACATGAGTTGTGCTTTATTCTTTAACTTATTATAGTTTGTGTAATCAGCTCATCTTACTTCAGTTCCATTCTCTTGTCTACACACAGACACAGGCACACACACACCTGTACCTCTTCTCTCTTACACACAGCATCTTGTCCCGCTATGCCTCATAACTTTCTGTAACTTGTGTGTTTCTGCATTTTTGACGATATTCATCAGCAGTATGTTAGAGATGCTGACAAAGCATCACTCGTCTTTTGAAATGTTTCACTCGATATTCCATTATCACATCAGGGTATCCATGTGAGTGGAGTCTTATTGATGATGATGTGTATCACAGCGCTCATCCTAAACTATGAGGGCAGGAGAGCAACGGCATCAAGCAGCTGCAGAAAAATATTACAATGAAGACATAAGATACTTCAGCTTTAACATGAGTGTCAAACCTCAGTCTGTGTATTTACAGGAAGGACTTACGGTCAGAGGACCTCTCTCTCTCTGTGAGGCGTGAATACATAAAAAAAAACTTGGGCAACCATACGTTTGCTTGGGCGGCCAGCGGGAGTGTCGTCTATGTGTGGGAAACTTTGAGTTCAGAACGGGATTATCATCTTGATCAACTGAAATAAAACGAGAACTTTTTTTACTCCTCCTGACACCCGCAGTCAGCAATCATGCTGAGAACTGTTTCCTCCTCCTCAGCCCACCTCGCCGTTGTAGTCGGTGAGGTCGTTGTTGTGCTTTTTGACCCATCACTGACTTTGAATGTTCACATCAGGGCACTGACTTGATCCTGTTTCTTCCACCTGATGTACAAAGTCACACTTAAATCAAGACTGGATGTTCTCATTCTGGATTAATCTCATCATGTTTGGACTACTTATACCCCCTTTGATGGATCCGCTTTAGACCGCCTGTAGTCGATTTACAGAGCTGCTGTGAGGCTTTTAACTCACCTGTTATACCGATATATTATCACCTGGGCTGGCTTCATATTGATGTTGAAATGAATCTTATAGTGTTCACATACAGATCTCTGTTTGGTCGGGCTGCAACACGACGTCACAAAGAGAGATCTTTTTAACAAGAAGTACATTTAACTGCTCTCAACCCGCCCTCTGACACACGTGTGTTTGGTGTCCAGCTGATGGTTTGAGACAGACTTTTTCATCCTCAAGGCCCGGTTGCCTGGTTGCTTGGTCTTATCAAGATAAAAATAATCCAGATTTGGTAATACATATCTTTTCTATAACAGGGTCATGTAATGCAGATCACGTTGATCACAGAGAAAAGATGTAAAGATCTGGATAGCCAGTACTCTGAAGGGGCACCAAAATCCATACAGGCTGAAAAATCCTCACAGCTGCTTTTAAAGTTTCATATAAACCTCTTCATCTCTGAAGCAAAACCGCAAATTAATGTCTAAAAAGTATCAACTACCCGGTAAAACTGTTGACAGATTTAAATGATTTCTGATATGTTTTCCCAGAAATCAAGTCTGAATCCAGACCTTTACTGGGATCAGGTTGATCCTGAACTTTAAGTTTAAAATTATCACAATCCTACTCAACAGATTTCAACAACACAGACATCTGATTTTGACTTCCTGATCTTATTCGGTTTTTTTAACAACCCAATTTTATGAGTGACTCATATCTGATAGCTTTAATCCTGTCACTTGACTTTTGAACATCCGGGCCCTGATGAGGTCATGAGACTGAGCTCACGTGAGTCCAGCTGGCTTCTGTTTGTGGCTGAATCAGGTCCGAGGCTGTGATGACGATGATGACAGAAAGTACAGAAGGTTTCAAAGACGTGAATGTATTTTTAGTTTCTTTATTTGTCAACATGTTGTATAAAACATTGTCTAGTTTGGGGGGTGGATGTGATTTTCAACAGAAAAAAAATATATTTTGAAAGCTTCCTTATTTCTTTGTAAAGAATTTGTACATATTGTGTTTTATTGCTCGTTATAGCAGAGTGTTAGCCGTTAACTGCTGTCAGCTAACAGTGAAACATTCAGATCTCTGAAAAGCTCTTATACTGGCGGGTACTGAGACTTTCTTTAAGGAAGTGAGGGGAAGCACCTTGAGTATGGCGTTTCCTCTGTAATGACTATGTCATATCAGTGATCACATGTTATTCACAGAACTTAAACAGCACGTTGTATAGATATGAATGTTTTATTCAGCTTCACAGAAGCCGTTTCCACACATGCACTCCTGAAGATTTTTTGAAATTTCAGGGAGGCTGCCCATGAAATCTTCCTGAGGGGCTTGTTCACAAATCCACCTCACAGGGGGAGACCCTCCCTGTCCGGTGGGAGGGGGGTGGAGGGGTTTTAGTTCGAGATGCTCACAGTATCAGCAACATAGCAGAGAAGAACATAGAGCAAACAAAGCTTAGTAAAGCAGTTAAATACAGTATGAGCACAGAGCTCATACAGTCTACTGTAGAGCGTCAGTCACAGGACATAAATATCTTCACCCCCCTTCCACTCGCTCGCGGAGAATTATCTCCGGCTGCGTTCACACATACAGCTCAACATTAAAATATCAGGACATTTTTGTGCATGCGTGGAAACACTAAGAGTTTCTCTGGAGACACATGTCAGGGTTCATGTCTGTCACCAGAAGCTTCTTAACATGTTGTCCTTTTTTTATTTTCACAATGTTTGCTTTAAATTGGAATTTTATATTTTGATGACTTTCTTTGTGAGATTTGTTATTTTTGGATTTTTCTACCATGATTTCTTATTAAACAGTCTGTTTCACTTCTTTTGACATGTCATTATTATCACCATGTCTCTTCTCCTCATTGAAACGGGGGGGAGCTCAATCTGTAGAGATCTGTGTCTAGAAATAAGAGTTAGTGTTTGAGTCAAGACCAAGAACTTACCAAGAACACGACATACCTGAAACCGAGACAAGACATATACTATATATATCACTAAAAAATCATCATGTTGTGTGCAGGGGGCGTGTCACTCACTTAGGGCGCGCTCACACTAGATAAGTTGTCAAACTACAAATGAATTAAAATGATTTGATCTTTTAGAAAGAGTCATTTTCCTTCTCATCACAGTGATGACAGGGAAAAATAGCCAATCAGTGGTGGTCTTGATTTGATTTAAAATCTGGAGTCTGCCCAGTCTGAGACCGAGACAAGGCCAATTAAAAATGCTTTATATTCCGAGACAAGACCTTCAAAACGTGTTCTCGAGACTGGTCTTGAGTACTACAACACTAATAAGAGTCGTATTGTTTTACAATTAAACTGAAAGGTGCATGCAATTCCCTGCAAGCACATTTCTCAGCAGAGCACCAGTACTGTATGGAACAAGTCTAGAAATAGTGACTGGTAGCTGGAGTGGTGCCAGCACACGTTCTACTGCCGATGTGCCCATGAGCAAGGCACCGAACCCCCAACTGCTCTGTGTGTCAGCCCCCGTGCACCCCCCTCACTCTGACATCTCTTCATCAGTGCATGTCTGTGGGACCTGTGTGTGTGTGTGTGTGTGTGTGTGTGTGTGTGTGTGTGTGTGTGTGTGTGTGTGTGTGTGTGTGTGTGTGTGTGTGTGTGTGTGTGTGTGTGTGTGTGTGTGTGTGTGTGTGTGTGTCATGTACTAGAAGCTGCCGCAGTGTTACCTCATCAAGTCCAGGAAAAGGAGCGTTGGACCTGTTTAACCACCTCTTTCCAGTAAAGCCCCTCCCACAGCTCCTCCCACAGCTCCTCCCATGACTCCTTCCCCTCCGAAAATCACAGATAAATTCTCCTGCAGACAACAGCGGCATCATCACACCTATGAATGACCCCACACTGAGCCTCCTGCAGCTCGTCTCTGATTGGTTCAGACTTCACTCTAAACTGTCTCAACCTAACTCACCTGAGTGTGAAACATGCAGGGGCGTCATTATCACCCTCCTCGCACACACCCACACACTCTCTCTGATCACACACCTGAACACTTCCTGCAGCTCGCTTTAATTACAGGTGAGAGAGTTTAGAGCAGAGAGAGAGAGCGGGAAAACCCCTGAGAGAGAGAAAAAGAGAGAGGTGAGGAGGAGGGGGGAAGCAACCACCGGTCAGACTTGAACCCGTGCCACCTGCTTGGAGGTAACCTAACCGCTAAGATACCTGTGCCCAAAATATTTTTTCTTTAAACATTAATGACAGCCTGTGTTACACATTACAGAGAGAGGAATAAATAACATTACATAGTTTGACATACGGTGTGTTTGTGTTTGTTTGTGTGTGTGTGTGTGTGTGTGTGTGTGTGTGAGTGTGTGTTAGCCTTTCTAACATGTTAACCCTCTGTGGGGTTTACACACTGTTCAATAAAAATTTCATCTCTTCCACAAATATTCTCTCTGCACACACACTTCCACTTTTGTATCTCACTCCAACTTCCTGTCTGCCATGTACACACACACACACACACGCACACATGCACACGCAGGGAAAGGGAAAAGAGGAACACTGTTTTTGTAAAGTACACACATCAGTTTCAGGACAGTACAGCAGAATACCATCATTCAATAAAATCACAACATAGAAGACATGTTTAGATTTTCCAACTACCTAGATTCCTAGCTTTTAGTTTTAGCAATTTAGCAAGACCTGCTAATTTCATAGACTGTAAATAGTAATGTTTGAAGCCTGAGTGACATCCTCCGTCTGTTCCTGCAGGGGGCGCTGGAGTCCCATCGATGGTGGTCTCCACGCTGGAAATGCTGTCTCAGTCTAACTTTCAGTCAACCTAACGACAGGCTGAGAGCTGGAGCTGAGGTGGGTTTTAAACCTCCTGACAAACCGTTACACCACGCCCACCTGTCAATCTGGTTAGATACACGGCATTATTGTTAATTAAAACTTAACTCTTATCCTTCATCAAAACGGATGAGTCATCAAAAAATGTCATTTCGTTAAGTGTAGTTTTTTTAAGCAGGATGTAAACATGTTTCTGCTGTAATAATGAATTTGAATGGGTGTGTATGTGACTTCCTGTTCTTCTGCAGCCAGCCTCTAGTGGACACTCAAGTAACTGCAGGATTTTGCGCTTCAGCATTGGCTTCATTCCAAAGGTTGCCGCCTGGTTCAAAAAACAAAGATGTTGACGCACTGTGGCGCAAAATGTAGATAAATCAAGTTTTGCTGGATGATTTGTGTGAGTTCGGGATAAAAATGTTGGTGAACATGTCAAATTAGTAGTACAGTACTTTAAAAAACAAACAAATTAATTGAATAATCCCTAGCAGAGGATATTACTTGTGCCTATGTTACATCATTAATTACAATGTTTAAACAAGTATGACTGATTTGATTTGAATTTAAAGCTTTAGATAGCTGCTATAAAGCCACAACTGGGATTATCTGCCATAGAAAAATCGAAAAAACTCCAAAATAGCACTTAAAAAACTTGAAAACGCTGAAAACCTGACATAGGTTTTCAGCTTGAAAACGCTGAAAACCTATGTCACTACATCTCCCATGATGCACTTCTCTTCGTTTCCGGATGCGCGTCTAAATTGCGCGAAAGCCCCCTCTGACGGAAGGACCTCCACGAATGCCTGCTCTGAAAATCAAGTAAACACGGTTTATCTCACATAGCAGGATATTTAGACTTCATCGAATCAGTTCATAATGAAACTAATACTTTATATTTGATTTATAAACTGAGCTGTTTCCTCATTTATCCTCGATTATCCCCGACGGATGTTAAATATATTACGTCGTTATATTTTGGTCGGCAGCTGAAACGACGAAAACAAAAACCCTACAGCGTGCTTTTAGCTAGTTGAATTATATACGAGATAAAAACTGCAACCCTGTAGACATGAATAAGCGAGAAGGTAAGTTTTAATACATTAAACCCAGAATATAATAATCTTTTAAATGCCGCTGAATAATTGTCAACAGCAAAGAAAAACTCACATCTGCGACTAGTCAGCTAAAAATAAAACAACAACAACTAAGATATCTGTTAGGGAAAGATGAATTAGTTTTTGTTTAAATAGTCAGACTGCTGTACTTTAAATACATCTTAATTTTTTAATAAAACAGCACAGTTTGCTCACATTAATCTACATTTTTAATGTTTTTATTTATGTTAATTTATTTGTTTATTTGGCTGAGACAGATCCCGTCTCTCTAAGAGCTTTCAGAAGAATATTAAACAACAGCAACAGAGAGCATGCTAACAGACTGAGCTAATCTGTGTGTTATATTTGTTTGGTAGAAGTGTCAAATAGAGATGCATTGGTTCAACATGGATATTGACCCTGTTGACTGACATCTGGAATTAATGTGGCATGAACAGATGTCCGTAGCAGATTTTTATTTTTAGGGCAAAATCAATTAAGTGCTGACATGTAGTTCACCTACCTGCTGATTCAGAGAAGATGTTTTTTAATCAGGCAGATGAAGTCAGCTGTTGGACTTAAGGTTAAAGTGTTTTTAAGAAATGACGTCATTAACCAGATGTTTTATGATGAACAAACTCTACGTGACTTTTCTGCCTCCTCTCAGGTGATGGTGTGCCTCGTAAAAACACGGATGCGGTGCAGGAGCGTGATGGGAGCGCCAACTCATCCTCACCCGTTATCGCTGCTTTTAAAGGTAACTCCGTCCTCTGCGTTTTTTTTTGTTTGTTTTGACCCTCATGTTTGATGCCTATCTCTAATTCTTACCCTTTCTTTGTTTTGTTTTTTAAAGTTTTCCAGCAGGAGTTGGACACCAAACATGACAAATACGAGCGCCTTGTGAAGCTCAGTCGAGACGTCACCATCGAGAGCAAGAGGACCATTTTTCTTCTACACAGAGTGACCAGGTCTGAACCTTTGTCAAAACTCGTGATGTTTGGAGTTTGGTTCGGACAGCAGTAGTAAATAATTCACTATTGGTTTTGACAAGATTATTTTTTGGGCTTTTTGTGCCTTTAATTGAGAGATAGGACAGTGGATAGAGTCGGAAATCAGGGAGAGAGAGTGGGGGAAAGAAGCCACAGGCTGGAAGACTATAGCCTCCATACATGGGGCACCACCCCCACTGCACCCCCAGCGCCTCACTATTGTTTTTTAAATTATTTCATCAGATACAAATCTCAAAAGTTAAAGGTCCAATCAGTGAGATGTGTAGTGGGTGAAATGATAAAGGTATCTTACTATATGATCAGACATTAAGGAAACATGTTATGTTGAAGTGCTGGCTTCTCTGACAACAATGCAGCAGCCAGTATGTCCTCCTTCTAACTTTAGATTCTGCTCCTGAATGCTCTGGATTTGTTTGGACCAGAGAAGGTACTTGGTTTTAAGACACCCCCACACGGCTGTTTTGGACGCCCCTCGGTTTGCCAGATATGAGAGCAGTTATCAGGTCAACAGGTGTTGCAGCGATGGAAGCGGGCAAGAGAAGTGGTTCAGATAGAAGTGATTGTACCCGACCTAAAAAGCCTCTGCATGTTTCTAATAAGCTCCACGAGCAGAAACGTGCTCAAACTAGGATCAATATTGGAGATGCTTTTGAAAAATGGAGAGAGGTTAGAACACAGAAAGGTTTACAGACCGATGCAGAGCTGGATAAACACTGAAGCTTCAGTGTCCACCACATGCTGACCTGCATGAGCATTGACTCTAGAGAGGAGGGGGCGGGGGGGAGACAGCTCTCTACAATGTTTAGAATTTGGACTGCAGTACCCATTTGAAGGAGAACATTGTATCTGCTCGTATATCTTGGCTGTCCAAAAAAATTGTAATGAAACATGATATCTTTTGATTTTTTAAAATAATTTGATACATTTCTAACTGTTGATTCACGTTTTCTCTGGATGAAAAAGTGTAACAGACCCCGAGGCGATTCTGAAGGAAGCAGAAGTGAAGCTGGAAGGAGTTAGACAGAAAATTGGTCAAATCGCCGAAGAGCTGCGAGGAGAAGACATCCATCAGTTTCACAGAGCTTTCACACCAGGTGAGCCTCGATGATAGCACACAGTGATCATTACTGCAGATTATGAGATAACATGATTGTGATGATGCCCTTAGTTTGAGAGAGCATTTCCAACGTGCTGAATACCATCGATGGGCTTCAAAACCCTGCCTCAGAAACCAACGAGTGATGTCACTGACGCTACGTCCATTTTTATACACTGCAACATGCAGAGAAAAATAAATCAGGCCCTGTGTCCATCTAGCGTTTTTTTCTGGGCAGAAAAGCGCTTGCATGAAGCGTTTGTGCGCTAAGATTAGAAGTGCTGCACGTCTGTCGTGTCTCTATGACAACAGTCCAGTGGACAGCTGGATACACTCTCCATTGTCGTGTGGTGACCTATGTCTCTGTTTATATCATGAATCAGGGATCCAGGAGTTCGTGGAGGCCGTCTCCTTCCTGCACTACATCCAACACCGCAGCCTCATCAGCCTGGAGGAGATCAACGCCCGGCTGGTGTTCATGAGAGCAGAGAAGGTAGCGCCGTCTTCTCAAGTCGTTTGTTTGTTTTTCATAACTTTCCCTCCATTCGTCTGTCATGTTTTAAAACTAAGAGTGAAGTTAATTTATTTTTCTTCAAAATGTAGTTATGACTTCTTTTCCTCTCAGGGCTCAGCTGAAGATCTGCCGCCGGGTGCTCAGGTGCTGACCTTCCAGGTAACGCCCTCCGACTACCTGCTGGGCGTGGCCGATCTGACCGGCGAGCTGATGCGTATGTGCATCAGCAGCGTGGGAAACGGCGACATCGACACGCCCTTCCAGCTGAGCCAGTTCCTGCGTCAGATCCACGACGGCTTCTCCTTCATCGGGAACACGGGGCCCTACGAGGTGTCCAAGAAGCTGCACACGCTGCGGCAGAGCCTGGGCAAGGTGGAGGACGCCTGCTACGCCCTGAAGGTCCGCGGCTCCGAGATCCCCAAACACATGCTGGCAGACGTGTTCTCCAGTCGGAGCGCGCTCATCGACCCCGAGGAGGGCGTGATCTGATCTCTGCTGCTCGATTCCTGCTCCTGTGTGTGTTTTAATGTCTGTTACGTTTTCTGACATGTTGGTTTATTTCTCTCTTTATTACAACAATAAAATGTGTTAAAGGACACAAAGGATTTCTTTTCTTTTTGATAACGATCTGATGCTTTCAGTTCTGCATGAATAAAAAGTTCTGTGCCAAAAATCTGCCATACTCCCTCGTCTTTAAGCTGCTTTGAAAACGTGTGTGTGTATTTTTTTCTCTTCTCGCCTCTCCATCACTCACAGATCATCTCAGGCTGCCTGCAGACCGCGTGCAGGGGAAATGTAACCTTTGTATAATGTGCATGCATTTCCTGTGTTTCCTGGTCAATCTGCTGACCCACACGCGCGCACACACACACACACACACAAGCGTCCTCGTACGGTGTTTGAACAATCCTCACCACACTGAAATCACCTACAGGTACAAAATAAAATCTGACAAAAGTGGCTGTTGTCAATCATCTGTATCTTACATCATCTTGTGTCGATTGTTATGATGTCACCCATCTGTTCCTGCAGGGTCTGCATGCTCTAAATGCTGTCTCAGCCTATCGACAATCGTGCACACAATCTGTAATGAGTAAGAGAAGCTTCTTGTTGAAAGAAAAAAAAACAGGTTTGGGGCACAGATGTAGCGGTTAGGTCACACCTCATGTACGGAGGCTGAAGCCCTCCAACAGGTGGCACATGTTCAAGTCAGACCTGTGGTTGCTTTCTCTCACGTCATCCCCCCCCTCCCCCTCTCGCTCTCTGATTTCTTACTCTCTCTCGTCCTATCAATAAATACAGAAAGCCCAAAAAGACAGCTTCTTCATATTTGGCAGTTTGAAGGATCAGAGTGCATAGTTTGTGTTTTCATTGTCATGTCACAGAAAAAGAAAGTGAAAGCAAGATAAACACGAATCATACCGACTATCTGTTCTTCTTTTCCAACCTGTTTGAGACAAAATTAGCAAACTGAAACACATCCAATTTAAAAAGCCATTCAAGTTTTTGCACATCTGTCCTTCTGCAGCTGGTTTGTGCTTCAAAGATTTACATTTCTTGTCTGAAAAACCTCACGTGGAGCTTTAGGGTGACATTTATCCTATCTAATACGTTTGTCTCTAAGTTAAAAAAAAAAGTAAACGTGTTGTTGTGGGTTTTATTTTCATTTGTAGTTTGAGTCTGCTACCTGGTGGTGAATATCAGAACAACATGTAGACATCCTGCCTTCTCTTTTAGAGGAAATGCTTTGACATTAAACTGAATAGTATTTCTGGTTTTATGATTTGATTAAATGCCATCATGTCATGAAGATATCTTTCTTTCCCCCAAATTTTCCCTAATTTTTCTTCTTGCAGTAAAATACTCAACGACACAGCTGCGTCTTCTGCAGACATTTTAACAGTCAACATGTTCTCCTGGCACCGTGTTCGGTGGATTTCAACAGCACAAACCTGTAAGAATAGTAGAAACCTTGAGCTGATTTGTTGTCATGTGTTTGTGCGTTAAAGGAGTTTTTGTTTGTGTTTTCTCAGAGCAGACAGGAAACCTCCAGTGTGGGTTATAAACCTTCTTAGTCCTCCTGACACCTGCAGAGCGCTGACATTTAGAGCTCCTAATCTTTAAACCAAAAGGTGATGATGTCACTGCAGGTACACCTGTGGATTTAATCCCCCCCCGCCCGCCTCACAGCTCTATCTCTTTCTCTGTCTCTCTCTCTCTCTCTCCCCCTCTCTCTCTCTCTGTCTCTTTGTCTCTCTGAGCACTCTCTATCTCTCTCTCTTTCTCTGTCTCTCTCTCTCTCTCCCCCCGCTCTCTCTGTCTCTGTCTCTCTCCCCCTCTCTCTCTGTCTCTCTCCCCCTCTCTCTCTTTCTCTGTCTCTCTCTCTCTCTCCCCCTCTCTCTCTGTCTCTGTCTCTCTGTCTCTCTCCCCCTCTCTCTCTGTCTCTGTTTCTTTCACTTTCTCTGTCTCTCTGTCTCGCTCTCTCTCCCTCTCTCTCTGTCTCTCTGAGCTCTCTCTATCGTTCTCACTTTCTCTGTCTCTCTGTCTCGCTCTCTCTCCCTCTCTCTCTGTCTCTTTGTCTCTCTGAGCTCTCTCTATCGTTCTCACTTTCTCTGTCTCTCTGTCTCTCTGTCTCTCTCTCTCTCTCTGTTTCTTTCACTTTCTCTGTCTCTCTGTCTCGCTCTCTCTCCCTCTCTCTCTGTCTCTCTGTCTCTCTGAGCTCTCGCTATCTCTCTCTCTTTCTCGCACTCTCTTTGATCTCTCTCTCCCCCACTCTCTCTCTTTCTGTCTCGCACTCTCTCTGATCTCTTTCTCTCTCTCTGTCTCTCCACAGTGAGTCTCTGATGGAGTAAGAAGCTTCACGTTGTCTCCTCTGCTGAGCTGAATGAAAGGAGCGTTTGGATGTTTGTGAGGAAGGATGAAAAGACATCTCTCTCTCTCTCCCCTCTCTATTTCTCTGTGAGCTCTCTCTCTCTCCCCCTCTTTCTCTCTGTCTCTCTCCCCCCCTCTCATTCATCCCCTCAGAGCAGCAACAAAGGAGCTCTTTGGTATTTAAACCATGCAGGATGTGTGAGGAGAAAATGAAAATGTGCACATTTTACATACAAACAATAATTAGAACGACGCTTTCCTCACTAAAGATTCTGTGACAATATGACGTGTCAGCAGTGCAGGGAAATTCAGAAGATATGTTTATGTTTTAAATTTAGGAACTCAAACATTTAATCCCGGAACATAGGACCAGATAAGACTTTATTCATTTGAATCTACACTCCCTGCCTCCCACTACGTTCTGCTAATGAAAGGCGTCTCATCCAAACCTTCACAACAGGGTCCTAAGAGGCTGACTAGACTCTTCTCCTCTGTCGCCCCCCGGTGGTGGAACGAACTAACAAACTCCATTCAAAGTCCCTTGTCACTTTAAGAAAAAGCTAAAGACCCAGCTCTTTATGAACACCTACAACCTTCAGGATGATGTTGATGATGCCCTGCCTCTGGCCACTTCCTGTCAGCACCTCTGGTTACTTCCTGTCAGTACCTGTGTGTTTGGTCAGACTACTTTGGATAAAAGAGTCTGCTAAATGAAATGTAGAATTTGTTTAGTAAAAAAAAGTTTAAAAAAGTCTTTAAATTTCTCTCTCAGAGTTACTTTTAAACATTTTAGAATATCCCAACTTCTGCTCAGTGGAAACACCAATAAATGCATACTGTATCAAACCAAACTGAACCGGACTGCTTGGTGGAAACCCACAAGCAGCAGCAGTTTCAGCTTAAAGAAATAATTAATTCTGCTGCTGATGGGCTTGTTCAAAATCACCAAAAAAGTCCTCACAGGAGCTTTAATGTTTCTGTGTGTGTGTGTGTGTGTGTGTGTGTGTGTGTGTGTGTGTGTGTGTGTGTGTGCGCGTGTGTCCTGTGCCGCTCTCAGTCCTCCTCTCTGTGCTCGTGAGGCGGTCTGAAGAGTCTGGAGTCAAATTCCTGCACACGTAGGAAGGAGCTCCCCGCGCTGCTCCAACGCGACGCACGACGCACGACGCAGCGAGTAACGGACAACTCATCGACCAATCGACACCACACAGATTCTTCTCTAACATTATACTTCTACCATTTCTTCAAATAATCGCCTTTGATTTGTTACTCTCTCTCAACAATCATGACATGAGGAGGACCATCCCTCCTCTCCTGCAGTCGGTTCGTTCAGACGCAGCTGGACCCGCTTGTGTTCCTCAGAGGAGATAGATGACAATCTGGAGTTTAAGCGTCAAAACTTTGGTCAGAAAATGTTGATCGTGGTCTCAGTAGCTCGTGGGAAAAGCCGGTTTCACGTGTAGAACAAATCGCGAGGAGAGAAAAAAAAAAAGTCTGGGTTGATTTTTCCACAACGGAAATGAGCTCAGCTCCACCACTGCAGCCTGGATCTGAAACATGGTCGATGTGACTCCGAGCAGATCTAAAAGCTCTGATTTCTGGATAAATACGGCTCGTGTTTGATCGATGGGAAGATGTTTGCAGGACTGATGGGGTTTGAATGTCGCAGTAACTCTCTGCTGCACCTCCGAGAAGTCATGGAAGGTAAGAACAAGCAGAAATGTTCAACTCTCAGCTGATGTTTTGCTCAATGGTCGAACAGTTTCTCTCCGCAACAGGCTGGTAGAGTCATTTTCAGGATCTCCACGCTGATCAGAAAGGATGTGAAATAAAGGAAGGATCACAACAGATGTAACTTGTCTTTATACGAGAGGGCACAGAGAGTCTGAACTAAACCTGGAGGTCAACCTGTTACTGGTCTGCTGTGAGGTCAGTGTGTGCGGAGTCTCTTTATTTATCATTTTTCATTCAGTCAGTCATGCAGGACAAAGAGCTTTCAGGGTTGAACAGCACAGACACAAACAGTTACACCAAAACACTGGAAAATAAATAAAAAAAACACAAGATTATAAATAGGGCCGGATCTATATGATATTTTTGGGGCCGATATTGGGAAGAGAAAATATTTGATATCGATATATTGGCCGATATCTTTTTAAGTTCTGTCTTCAATCTTTAGAGATAGAAAGATATCGACTCACACATTCATGGCGTTGATCCATTAACTGCAGTTATCAAACTCGGGATAGAATCAGGCGCCCAACTTGCCGACTTTTCGTCATATTCATCATCAACATGGCGGGCAAATAATTATTCTGTTTGTGGCAATAAACTTTGCTTAATTCACGTATTCCCATCAACTTTTTGCTTAAATATATTTTTTTCTTCGTCCATGTTGTTTGTTGTTGTTGTTACATCATTCCGACTCGCTGAACTGGAAGCATATGAAAACACTGAAGTTGAGAAAACGACTTTCCAGGTTGGGAACTGGGACCCTGAATGCAGCATTAAATCATCCTGTGTGTAGCCGGCCTATAGGAGCAAAGAAATTACACCTGGGCCGTATCCGAATTGCCTAGTACCTACTCAGTCTGTCAGTAGTCAGTACGTACTATCCGTGCTATATGCTGTTTAGTACCTACTATTCAGTATGCACACACAGTAAGCAGATATTTGTTCCTACTTCGTCTGATTCATTCAGTAAGGAAGTGACGTCATTTACATTTCCCAAACCGGCCGCATCTACCTGTTTTTTTGTTTTTGTTTAGCTTTATTCAAGAAGAGTAATGCGCATATACAGTCAGGTAAACAAACCAATATCACAATGTAAATCAAGTAAAAGACAGATTAAATAACTAAATAACATACAGTAGCCTACATAAAGAAAAGTACAAATGAAAGACAGTAATATACAGAATATAAAGTAAAATAAACAAATAAAGACGCATTTAAATAGTTAAATCATTATTTAAATAGAGGGGGAAAGGTTTTATAATGATGCAGACATTTGTTTTATTTTCTGTTGTTAATTTAAAGTAGCGATTTCAGTCGGGACTTTAAATTAAGATTAAATTAATCAATGCTCGTTTGTTATGATTTGGAGGCGCACGTGAAGTGACGATTTACGTTTAATTTCGCACAGCATTGTGGGTGGTAAAATACAATTCATTTCCTGTAAGCACGCATCCGATCCATACTGCATGAAACCCGGAAGTTAGTATCCATACTGAAATGTTCAGTATACTGAGGTGTACCCAAAAAATGCATACTGAATGACCACGAGAGTTCAGTATACTGAAACTCCATACTGAATAGTACGAACTGCATACTGAACTGTGACTATTCGGAAAGGGCCCTGGAAATTGCTGATATAAGAAGTCCCACCCCTTCTTGATTTTCATTGGTCGATGGTGGAGAAGTGACATTGACATTCGTTGTACTGCTCTAAAAGTTGAACTGTTTTCAGAGCGCACTGACGGTGTTTTAGTGCTCAGGACACTGAACTACATTTAGTTTTGTATTGAAAACGGGCATATCTAAAAACGCTGCCGTGGCGTGCAGACAGTCTATGGTCGTGCAGTGATCACAGGGAATAAACGTCACCACCCCCTCCCACTCGCTCCAGGTGAATTCTCCTGATTATATCCTGCTGCGTTCTCACATCAGCTCACTCTGTCTCTGTCAGATTTTTCTCCTCATTTCACTGAATCGACCTCATGCAGAAAGTTTATGATCCTCATGTGAGCAGGCAGTAAGTGAGCAGCTGTTTTCTTATAAATGTCTCACGGAGCAGAGCAGAGATTGAACTCCTGATTCTCGTTAATTAAACGTAACTTTCTGTCAACTGTTGAATATTGTTTTTTCCATTTAAACTCCCTTCTAGGCCACACTTTGTCACCACTTTGTCAGACCCATCGCTGACTTTCACTTCTTCTTTTCTGCCGGTCACAAGCGTCACATCTGCTTCTCAGGAGGCTGCTGACATGCAGATCTGTGTGTGTGTGTGTGTGTGTGTGTGTGTGTGTGTGTGTGTGTGTGTGTGTGTGTGTGTGTGTGTGTGTGTGTGTGTGTGTGTGTGTGTGTGTGTGTGTGTGTGTGTGAGGGTGCCGAGCTTGTTCCTCAAACATTTGTGTTTTTATGAGATCCTCTACATTCCACTTGTCTCTGGCTGAAGCGCTGTCAGCAGCCAATGAGCTGCTTTGTTTCAGCTGAGGGCTCTGAGAAGGGCCTCTTTAATCTGCAAAGGTAAATAATGGAGCTCGTCTGGCTGAGACGCTTCGTTTCCTCAAACTTTTTTTGTGCAGAAATGAGCAACAAGTCAACCGGAGAAAGCTGCAGAGGAGTCATTTAAAGTAAATCCTTGTTTTAGGATCCGCACTTAATTCTCATCAATGAAAAAATATAATGTTTGGCTTCATTCTCAACAGCACAGCAGTATTACAAAATCTGTTTAAAGATGTAACCACTTGTTTTTAAATTATAGTCTAATTTTTAAATGTTCAACAGTAACAAAAAGTACCTAAACTCCACTTCAGTCTGATAACAATAAAATAAAAAGTTTAAATCTCTTCAAACACAAATGAAAGAGAGGAGCTGACACTTCCTAGATTGCACGATGCCACAGGAGTTTACCTGCAATTGTCTCGATCAGAAACAGGAAATGACCCAATATCAGGTGTCTAGGAACATTTTTACATTTTTTTTATTTGATGGTTTAAGAGTAGGCTACACGGTGGTACAGTGGTTAGTGCTGTGGCCTCACAGTGAGGAGGTTCCTGGTTTGAATCCCCGTCTGACAGGAGCCTCTCTGTGTGGAGTCTGCATGTTCTCCTCGTGCATGTGTGGGTTCTCTGTGGGTACTCAAGCTTCCTCCCACAGTCCAAAGACATGCTCGTTAGGTTAACTGCTGACTCTATATTCCGTAGTTGTGAATGTGAGTGTGTCTGGTTGTCTGTCCCTATATCTCAGCCCTGTGATTGGCTGGTGAACAGTCCAGGGTGTAACCCCGCCTCTCACCCAATGGCAGTTGGGATCGGCTCCAGCAACCCTAACGGGAAAAGCGGTAAAGATGATGGATAGATGGTTTACTGAAGTTTTGACTGTTATTTTTTAAAATCAGAAGTACTCTTCCTGGTCCAGTGGTTACGATGGTCGGGTCAATTGTCTTTAATTTAATGTCAGCCCCTGATGTATCTGTAGCTATGTGCACATAAATAATAAAGTTTTATTGGAGGGAATCTGTGTGCGCTGCCATCTTGGATTCTTTTTTTTGCTGTTTCTTCCTGAATTCCTGTCAAACTATTTCAGGGCAAAACCTTGCAGGAAACAACAAACAACCTTCCTCTGAGGGGCTTCACACACACACACACACACACACACACACACACACACACACACACACACACACACACTTTCACAATGGGACCTGAGGTATTTCCTTCCCCTTTCCCTGAAATCGAAGCATGGCGACGGCGAGGAATGGAGGATACAGTAACACTCTCGACCATCAAGTGCTCCTCTCTTCTCTTTGAGAGGGTTATGTGTTGAATTGTGACCGCAGCAGATGGTGAACGGTGTGCTGCTGTATTTTGTATACCTTCAGAGAGTGTTGGGTTTCTTAAACTGGTTATGGAACAGTAACCACGTCTGCAAAGAAACGCTAATGGAGCGGTGTGTAACCGGAGCTTCAGTGTGGTGGTCCCGGTGGACGGATGGCTCATACAAAGACCCCCCCCCATGTTAATCTCACTGAAAACCTGTCCCCTAAGTCCCTGACTCGCCCTTAAGTGGCGTCTCTTCCATAGACTTTATAAATAATGGACAAAGTCGGTGTGATGTCACCCTTCAGTTTATTGACTGCCTGTTGAAGCCTAGAGTTTGGTCATGTTGGTTTTCTGGGGCTAGACGTGACCATATTTGGACTCAAGGGTGGAGCGTCATTTATTATTTTTAAGAAAATAATAATTTTGGGGTGCCGAATAGCGTTGTGGTTATGTTGGAGCCCCACATACAGAGGCTGCAGCCCCTCATCACATCCCCCGACCTCAGTCCTTTGCTGCATGTCATCCTCTGGGTAACCGTCATGTTCCTGCAGAAAGCGACTCTTTTAGTGATGGCAGCTGATTGGAGTTGCATATTTATCAAACTTAAAAAGCTCAGAGAACTTGTGCACGTAGTGGACTAAATGCTTGTTGGCGATATTTCCTCATACTCCAAATTCCTGCCTCCTCATCACTTCACATCGTGATCTTCTCTGCAGAAAAGAAAACAACAATCCTGACTCCCATGCACGGGCCACCACAATAAATCAGAGTGTGACAAACACTGAACGAGCTCAGAGACAGTTATGGTTCTTCTCACAGACTCAGTTAGCTGCTAATTGTTGCTAACGTGTAAATAAGAGTGTAAAAGTGCAGCTCAGACTTGTTGGACGGTCTATTAGTCAATAAAGCTCACAGAGAGAGACAGATTATTAGTCTGATATTTATATGAACAAATCTCCAAAAGACTCCAACAGTACAAACATGACCCAGAGGTTAAAGGTCAGGGACTGAATTATCTGAGGGGACACCTAGCAGACAGCTAGCAGCTCCCACCTGTCACTCAAAGAGGCCACGCCCCTAATTCTACATCACTTTAAGACTTAATATAATGTAAACAGGTGAGTTGTATAAACATTCAGCCCGTACAGTTGAAGAGAGAAATGAGATCTAGAGACCCAAACTGTTTTTATACCAGACTGTAAACATGTTTATTTTAACATAGAGCTCTATGGAGACAGACTCACTGCAGGAGACAGACTCTAGTGGACACTGGAGGAACTGCAGCTTTTGGCTTCATTTTTCAGCTCTGAACATTTCTGCTGGATCTTAACCCTCCCTTAAGTGTCTTCATGTTTCCTCCTCTGCGGTCACACCGGATGCTTCAGCAGTGACATCACCGGAGGTCACGGCGGGTTGAGCAGAGAGCTGCGGTTCCTTTATGGTGCTCATGGTTTGTTTCGTGTCCTGCATTCCTGTCATGACGTACAGACATGCAGTTTCTTCAAGTGTTCGGTCACTGGGGGAAGAACTGCAGATTATAAAGGCTGATAAGTTTCTAGTAACACAACATGAAGTCCTCGTTGTGTCCAGATGTGTTTGATTCCTACTGAGGGAGTTTTGTTTTTAGGCTTCTTTCACAAAGTGTAACAAAGTGTAACGGGGTTTTACTATGACTTTAGCATGAATGCCCCCACTGTGTCTCCTACAAAAGTCTGTGTGTGTGTGTGTGGGTAGATAAATTTGAGAGGCAGAAGTGAAAGAGAGAGAGAGAGCCATGCAGCTGGACACAAAGACACTGTTGATTCAAACATTCAGCCTCTCTCTCTCTCTCTCTCTCTCTCTTTATGTTTTAATCACGTGAAGCTGCAGCAGGTGTTTGACTTCCAACATAGACTTCTCTTCGTCATTGTGCTCTTCTTTTAGACAAATGAATGTTATCATAATTTTTAATTATTGCTGAGTTCGGCCATGTTTCCCTGCAGTGCTTCTTCATTGTCCAAATTATTAACATCTTAAATTTGAAGTTTGTCACAACACGACCTTTGACATATCTGCTGGATGTGAAGGCAGCTGTTTCCTAACAAATTAGCCTCATCGGCTTTAAAGGGTGTTAGAGTAACGGGTCAATATTGTGTTTGACGCCCGTCCTTTGACCTAGGTCGCAAACAATATCTGTGTTATTGATTCATTTTAAATTCATCATATTTTTGCTTAAATCTTTGCTTTCTTTACTTTGACATGTCTGAGATACAGTCAGGTCGGTTTCTGCACGGCCGTCTCTGCATCTGGAGAAGCTTTGTTTCAGAAGATTATTACTTCTTTTGAGTGTTTTTAAAGATAAACTTCAGGACGTGTAGTCCATGTTCGCTCCTCCAATGAGAGGCCTGTCTTGACTCAAAGTGACTGTTTGGTTTTGGTATTTCCCAACAGCTGGAGTAAATCTCTGGGAAATGTCGCCCAGCTGCCAAAGTTGTTTTTCATTCAGTCAGTGATGTTAGCGTTGAGGAGAGAGAGAGGGGTGGGAGTCTTTAGGGTTTGGTTAGATCATAGTCTGAGTTTTAGCAATAGGTTGTTTTACATTCCTGCATAATTGGCACATTTAGCGTCACATTTCTTCCTGCCGTACTCCATGATTAACACTGTTAATCCTGCTGTTTGTATTAGCTCACTGTACTGTTTGTCTTCCTCATGAGCGGGTTGTCCAGATTAATGGTTAATCTCTGCATCGACAGGTGGCCGGGCGTCAGGGACAGCTGGCAGCTCCGGCCGTAAGAGGTTCCACCGACGACCGGGGTACATGAGAGGAGAGCCGTCCAGACTGCAGAGCATGTCTCAGGAGCAGGAGGAGGAGGAGGAGGAGGAGGAAGGGAACACAACGGGCATTAGAAAATCTGGACGTCACACTGACATCACACCTGCTGTCAAAGTGTCCTCACAGACTGACAAACCTTCATGTAGCACCCGGAGGAGTAAGAGTTTTCTCTGCTCTGGGACTCGTCCTCTGTCTCCCAAAGCATGCAGGGAAATGAACGGTACATCAGGCCAGGATGAACTCAGGTTAAGCCGGAGTCCAGCACCTCCACAGTCCTCCACACAGGACTCCTTTAACTCCAGTTTTAGTTTCATCCGAGAGTCTCTAAACTCAACTTCAACCCCGTCACAGGAACCAGAAGCACTAAGTCATTCCACTAAAGCACAGAGTTCACCTCAAACTAAACCAGCAGCCTTAACCACTGAGCACAACGTCTCGAGGCAGACCAGTTCTGTCCAATCAGAGGCGTCCTCCGAGCGGGACGAGCTGTCGTCAGGCGGGAGGTTTTGGCGGGAGAGTCTGTGGGTAAACAGGGAGGTGACGTCTGACCTCCCTGACTGTGACTCTCACTCTGTGGACATAGACATCACCTCGTCGCTCTCCGTGGACTCAGACACAGCCTCCGCCTCCTCCGTCACCTCTGGCTATGAGAGTGCCACGCCCGTCTGCGACCATGGCGTGGACAACCTGGTGAAGAAGTACGAGGGCGTGCTGCAGGACTGTCTGCAGAACAACCGGACACACACTAAGGTGAGCATGATTGGATCCTGATGGCTTTTATTAAATTTAAAGGGATAGTTCTGATAATCAGGAGCTCAGTATGAACCGCTACGGACTAGCATGGAGTAAAATGTACTCTCAGATGCACCGACAACTGATAAGTATCTCAAAGCCCCCTTCAAAACAACTTTTCCTTTAAAGGTCCCATATTATGCATTTTCTGGTTTTATATGCTCTTTAGTGTGTTTTGTGTCCTGTGCATGTTTAGACACATCTATGTGCAAAAATTCAAAGTCCGCGGAAACACGGCTTCTCCTACGTCCTCCTGTTAGCTGTAGTATTAGCTGCACGTAACGCTCGGTTCTAGCCCCCCTCGATAAAAATTTGTCAGTCGGGCATCATTGTCAGTGTGAGATCACTGATCTAAGCCCATTGGCTCGTTGTGGCAAGCCCAGCAGCTCATGTTGAAATTTCCGAGACGCGTGCTGAGCAACTGACCAATAACGACAGAGCGGATCAGCAGACCAATCAGAGCAGACTTGGCCCACGTGGGGTCTAACAGTGTGGGCTCAGCAGAGTGTAGCTGACAGACTCAGAGCGTAGAGGGAGCAAGGAGGAGCAGTACATGAAAACAGACACTTTTTTCAAACTTTAGCTATTGTGAATGTACAAAAGTAGGTACATAGATTAAATATACGAACCCCAAAAAGGGCAGAATATGGGCTCTTTAAAGAGCAGTATGTAACTCGGATACCTAGTCTTTAAAATGGGTACTGCAGTCCAAATTCTAAACATTGCAGAGAGCTGTCTCTCTCTCTCCCCCCTTGCTCCCATTTTTTAAGGAGGTCTCGATGTCAGAGAACCCTTTTCTGAATGCATAGCAGCTTTTATTATGGAACTTTAAACTAAAGGGTGAAGTCTTTTAAATATCTGATGCAGATATATTAATAAAACACATAAAAACATTTAAAGGGACTGATAGTCGTGCCTGATATTAGGAGTCTGAGAAAGTCCACACTCAGTCCTGAACCTGCTGACTTAGTCTCACTTTTGAAACGACGGTCATCGCACCCTCACGCTTTTTTTTTTTTTTTCAGCCTGTGTCATCTGTTTAAAGATCATCGCCCTCTGGACTGTTTGGTAATCTACTCCGTCTTCTTCTGTGGTGTCTTTTTCAGATCGAGTCCATGATGTTGAAGCTGCAGAGACTCCAGCAGAAAGCCATTTTGGATGACGACTATGACGCAGGTGAGCTCATAGCTGCTGCTTTAATATTTAGGTCATTTTACAGTTTTTTATGAGATTCAGCAACACGTGGATTAAAGACAGAAGTGCTTAAAGTCATTTTTTCTGCCTCTATTGTCAAAGTTTAACACATCTGATGGAGATTTTTATTTTGCTGCTCCTCTAGAACATTTTTTAAATTCAGTATGAAAGAAAGAAAACAGTAAACATTGAAGACTTTGCAGCAGCTCAACATGCTGTAACAAGCTGTGTAGTTGGACATTTTAACATGGGGCTCTATGGGGACTGACTCACTGCAGGAGGCTTCTGCTCGCTTTGACATTTGTTTGTAAGAAAAGGGATGAAGGGGAAGTACCCGAGTCGCTTTAATTGGATTTGTTGCAAACTGAATAAGTTGTTGATCAAACTGATATGAACGATGAAGCTCGTGAGGGCAGCAGGACACACATCAGCCTTACCTGTTGTATTTGTTTAAAGGCTCTTACATACATTTTAGATCAATCTGTCTGGTGGGTTTAAGGACCTTTAGCTGCACATTCTTAAATCATACATTATAAAGTTCTTGTTTTTGGTGATCTGTCTGACACTTGAGTAAACACTAAACTGACTTCTTTTTCTCTGTATGATGAGCTGAAGGGCGGACTAAGAGTGTGTAATGCTTATTTCTTTCTGATGACTTCATGTCAGCTCAGTCACACCAGGTTTGTCATGATACCAGAATGTTAAACTCTGATACGATAGTAATAATCAAACAAAGTCATACCTGTTTTGATGCCATGACAGCAAAAGCAAAAGTCCTCGGCACCTGATATTAGGAACTTTATTATTTGAAGTTATCGCAGGCAATAAATTGCAGGCAATCTCCTGCGCAATGTTTTATATGCCCAAATATTGGCAATGTTTCTGTGCCATATTTATACAATTTAGACTGTGCAGGAGTCTGTCTGCAATTTTTGGTGGATGAGTCCTCTCCTATGCGCTCGTCTTTTGAAATAGATGTTGTTCTATTAAATCTGCTGCTACTATCGTTTGTCAAAGTAAGACAGAGTCAGAGATTGTATCGTTTAAAAACGTCGTTTGAAGACCTAAAGTCCCACAAAACATGGAACTGTGAAACTTCTGAAAGTGAAAGACGGAGGAGGATGCTAAATCCAATCCCACATTTATTTACTTAAAAAACCAAACTTTGGCTCCTGGAGCTTCTTCTACGTTCAGCTTTTGATGTTTTCTTTGAATCCTGCACGAGAACGAACCTCAAACCCGTCTAATTACATCCTGACTGATTTGATTTCTGTCTCCAGAAGAAGCCACGCGTTCATGTCAGATCCTGTTTGACCTCGATTTGTTTCCTAGCTCGCCTGAGGAAAGTTTATTTTCTGAAAGGGACAGACTCTGACCCCATTCTTGGACCTTGTGACAGAAATAAACTCCAACATCTGCTGTTGCCGTCCTGCAGGCCTTGAACTTATTTAAGAGGGGTGAATATTTGGGTCAGTAGGTCTGTTTCCTGTTTGACTCTGATACTGAATCACACTTCTCTTTTTGACGTCTTAAACTCTTTCTCGCCTCGTCTATAACCCGGCTGACTGAACAGCTTTACATTAAATGTTGTTTTCCAGTCCTGAGACAGTTGGTCAGATCTTCTCTTTGATGAAGAGCTCGATGTTTTGATGATTCCCACAGCCAATTGCTAAAAGTTCCTTCTTCTTGTTGAGTTGAGTTTTCTGACTTGTAAGGTTCTTCTTTCTGCTGAATTTTGAAAATGGAGGTGAAACTGTTGTAAATGCAAGAAATACAATGCTACGCAGCAGTCCAATCACAGGGCTTACGGTCGAGTCTTTCAATGTGTAGTTACATTACACATGTGTAAGCTTCTCCATAGATACAGGGCTATGCTAGCTATGCTAACTAACAGCGTATGCTACAGCATGGATTGAACACAGACGTTTAAATCAGGCTTTATTATTACAGTTGTGTGTTTCTCTGTAGCACAGAGTTAATAATGTCACACAGGACGTTCTTTCAGTTGCACGGTGGTACAGTGGTTAGTGCTGTGGCCTCGCAGCGAGGAGGTTCCTGGTTTGAATCCCCGTCTGACAGGAGCCTCTCTGTGTGGAGTTTGCATGTTCTCTTGTGCATGTGTGGGTTCTCTCCGGGTACTCCAGCTTCCTCCCACAGTCCAAAGACATGCTCGTTAGGTTAACTGCTGACTCTAAATTGTCTGTAGTTGTGAATGTGAGTGTGACTGATTCTCTGCCTCTATATGTCAGTCCTGTGATTGACTGGTGACCAGTCCAGAGTGTAACCCCACCTCTCGCCCAATGACAGGTGGAATTGGCTCCAGCCCCCGTGACCCTGAGTGGGAAAAGCGGTATAGAAGACGGATGCATAACTTTAGCAAAGACTTAGAAAGGAAAACTGTTTCTAACTGTCTCACCAACTCACACGGTCAACTGCATGTTGATTATGTAATGAGGAGAGCCAGATTAAAGACCTTTAAACAAACGACTAAACCTCAGACTGACTGAAGCTACATTAATGATACGACATGAGCAACCAGAAAACTGAGAGGAAACAAAAAGTACCTAAGCTTCATGCCACATGATGCAGCATGTGGTTAACTGTGTGTCTGTGTGTGTGTGTGTGTGTGTGTGTGTGTGTGTGTGTGTGTGTGTGTGTGTGTGTGTGTGTCTCCTCAGCTGAGCGTTTCAGGAAGAAGCTGGAGGAGCTGTGCAGAGAGAGAGGAGCTCTGAAGCTCGGTCTCCCCTCCACTCAGCCCAGCGTGGCTCTGTTCCTGCAGCGCCTCACACAGGTGGTGCACAGCGCCCTCCAGAGGACAGACTGCAGCCACTGCAGGTCAGACACACAACTCAGGCAAACAATGTTCTATCACTCAATATAAACACAACACACACTCTGCTGTGGTCCAAATCAGCACATAAAATAAAATAATCATGTTTTGTCATTGCTTCATTTATTTGCCAAAATCTGCCACATTTCTTTTTTAATATTGAGAGTTTTATGAGCTGCTGATCATGCAAAGCTCCTCTTAAGCTTTCACACACTGACAACATGAAAGGTGAACATGAGGAGACGATGGGAGCTTCACTTTCTGTCTTCTATTATTAGTGTCAGGAAGGAAATCAGGCGGGGTTATCCTCAACAAATATAACTAAAAGCTCTCATGGTAATGTTGTGACTTCTTGTGTTTAACTGACACACCTTCATCTCAGAGCCCTTTTTATACTTAAAGGCAGGGTTGGTCATTTCCTCCAGATCCACTTTTTAAGTTTCTGGTTTAAATTGTCTTTAGGTCCTGACAGAAAATAATAATTTAATAACTTCTTTCTTTCTTTGGGTCTTGAAAAGGTCGTAAAAAGTCTTACATTAGATCTTGAAAAGTGTGCAGACACCCTGCTGAGACTTTCTCTTAGACTCTCTCTTTTTGTTTGTGTGACTCGTCTTCAGGGACGGGACGGATCCTGATCCAGGGGCCGATCTGAGGGACTCTCTGCAGGGTCCACTGCATCGAAGAGGTCGTCTGATTCAAGAGAAACGGCAGCTGGAGGTAAAGCCAGCTGATTTTAATAACGTCGTATTAAAAGCTCACAGTCGTCGTGTTTAGGGCTTCATGTCTCACATGTTTGTCTCCTTTTGATCCCAAAACATTTTATTCCTTTTCCTTTTTGCTGTTTGAAACCAAAAAAAGAACATTTTCTACAACTCACTTAGTGGGTTGTGGTTTAGTGGAGTCGGTTGTCTCCCAGCCAGAAGGTCGGTGGTTCGATCCCCAGCTCCTGAAAATAAAAGTTGTCTCTCTAACAAAGCTCCTAACCTGTGCAGGAGGAGATGCTGGAGCTGCAGCAACGGCTGGCGGAGCTGAAGGATCGCCGTGTGCAGCTGGAGCAGCAGATCCAGCAGGAGGAGCAGCGGGCGGAGGCCGAGGAGCTGGAGGGCTCGGTGCTGAGGAGCTGCAGCGTGGAGCAGCTCCGAGACATGAGCTGCACCCTGCAGGAGCTCGTCTCCTCCGAGAGCCGCACGCAGATCTCCGTCTCTCCTCCTCCCTCCGTCATCAGGTCAGAGTCACGCCTGCAAACATTTTTATAAAGTCTCCTCTTCCAGCAGGAATTCTGAAATCTGCAAAAATGTTTAAGAATGTTCAAGACTTCTGAGAATTATTGCATGCTATAATGCATGCTAAGGTCAGCGCGTGCTGCACACCTGTAATTTATTTTATTTGCTTTATTCTCGCTGATCTTTTGCATTTGGTTTAAACACTCGCTGTTTGGTCTGACTATGAAGCACAAGTCCCTGAACATAAAAGAAAGTAGGTTTGCAGAAGTTGCAAAGTCTCGTGTCAGATTTGTCCCCCTCTGACCCCGCAGAGGACAGATCTCTCCTGCAGTACCGCCAGTCACCACATGGGGCTGCTAAAGAGCTGCGAGCAGATCATGAGTCCCTGTTCCTTCCCCTTGTGTCATGTCACCTTTATTTTCATCATTATGAGCTCATTTGGAGAGGCATGTTACAGAGAATATCCTCCATTTTAAAAAATAAATAAAAAAAATTCCCTCAACCTGCGTCAGTCCTGAAGAACAAAAGCAGCTTCTTTAAAACATCTGACAGCAGGATCGTCTAAGAGACAGAAAGAACATCAGCTAACAGGAGAGTCTGAAAACTGAAGGAAATCATTTCCTCCTCCAGTCATAACAAACAAATTTTTTTGGTGTTTCTGATGACAGAAGCATCTTTTGTATTAAGCTTAAAAGCATTTATTATCCGTCATTTAAGGACTAAAGCACCTGGTGAATCAATGCAACACAACGCAGTTATTTGTCAGACTTGATGACGTTTCTTTGTGGCCTCAGAGAGAACGCACTCAGTCACAGATAAAAATATTTTTTTATTGCGTCTCCTCCCCCGTGCCCTCCATCGCCTCCTCTCTCACCTGCTCTGAATTTTAACCGTTTCTCTTGGATGCAAATGATCTCTTTGCCTCGTATCCTCTGAAGTTAATAGCTCACAGGAGGGCTCAGGGAAAGCCTCTCTGTGTTGCCGCTCGTTGACGAGAAGAGATGTAAATTGTACTTATCGCTTCCTCGGTGGCGTGACCCACCATCACGGCGATAATTTGATATCTGACACATTCTCACCCCGACTGGAACGCATTTATTCTGGCTGCTGATTGAAATTGCGACCTCAGATTGGATATTCAGCGGCTCATCTCCAGGTGTCATGTTTTGTGTCATCACGGTGATTGTGCTGCAGCTCGTTTCCCAAATAACACAGGACATTTCTCTCTCATATCATGGGTTATTTCCTTTTTCATACGGGCTTAAAGAAATCCAGGCTTCCCCAAAACGCTGCATCCCTAAATAAAAACGTCAGGGTCGTACTCTGACTTTCACTGATCTGATCTGATTACATGGAAATTGCAGCGTTTTGCAGTATTAGAAGATTGACACTCTCTGAAGATTGACACTCTCTGTTTAGCATGATCGATTTCAAGCTCCTTTTCTCGATCTTATAATTGATTTTAGTAACCAATTAATTTGACCTTAACAGTTTGTCCTCTTTACACACATTTGTGAAATAAAAAACATGAGCTCATGTTGAATTTACCCTCGGACAAAGAAATATTTATCTGCTCAATTTAACTTGAGAAACAAAAAAGAAGCTTTTTGTAACATTGAAGTTGCTGGAAAGGATCAAGTCAAGATTATGAAAAGACAGATTTAAAGGAGCGATATGTAACTCTGACCCTAGAGTTTAAAATGGGTACTGCAGTCTAAATTCGAAACATTGTAGAGAGCTGTCTCCCCCTCGCCCCCCTCCTCTGTAGAGTCGATGCTCACACAGCTGAAGCTTCAGTGTTTATCCAGCTCTGCATCGGTCTGTAAACCTTTCTGTGTTCTAACCTCTCTCCATTTTTCAAAAGCATCTCCAATATTGATCCTAGTTTGAGCACGTTTCTGCTCGTGGAGCTTATTAGAAACATGCAGAGGCTTTTTAGGTCGGGTACAATCACTTCTATCTGAACCACTTCTCTTGCCCGCTTCCATCACTGCAACACCTGTTGGATTGATCTGATAACTGCACTCATATCTGGCAAACCGAGGGGCGTCCAAAACGGCCGTGTGGGGGTGTCTTAAAACCACCTTTCTCACCATCAGACAATGATTGATGATTGGCTTGAAGAGGTTTTAGTTCTGCACGGTAACCTTTTTATTATTTTCTGTTTGCAGACTCCAGGAACAGGAGCAGGCGCTGAATCTGTCCATCAAGGAAGCAACTGCTAAAGTAAGCTGCTGTTCATCTTAAAGTCGACCTATTCTGCTTTTCCCCATTTTAAAACTCTCATATAGTGCTGCAATGCTTGATGCCCAAACTAAACGGGGGCAAAGTTTCAGATAAGGAGGCTCCAACAGCACAAACACGACCCAGAGGTTAAAGGTCAGGGACTGAATTAACTGAGGGGACACCTAGCAGACATCTAGCAGCTCCCACCTGTCACTCAAAGAGGCCACGCCCCCTCATTCTACATCACTTTAAGCTTTAATATAATGTAAACAGGTGAGTTATATAAACATTCAACCTGTACAGATGAAGAGAGAAATTAACTCGAGAGACCCAAACTGTTTTTATACCAGACTGTAAACAGAAACATGTTTATTTCTGCTGTAAAGTTGGACATTTTAACATGGAGCTCTATGGAGACTGACTCACTGCAGGAGACAGACTCTAGTGGACACTGGAGGAACTGCAGCTATTTTGTACTTCCTCAATTATTTTGAGGAGGTAACATTTTTTTTTGGAAGCTTTAACCTCTGGCTTTAGGTGTACTTTGTAAATATATGTTAAAGTAACAGAGCGCAGGTGAATTTGCTGCTGGTTTCTGTGTGACGGCTTTTCAGGCGTTCCTTTATGTGTGCAGTGTCTCTGGAGATCTGTCTTACCTCTCATGGGTTTTCTTTTCTCTGTCTCTGATCTCATGGATCTCTGCAGCTGGAAAATGCCGGTAGCAGCAGAAATCTGTAAGAAGTGTTGGCTTAAGGAGAGAGAGGGGGGAGGCTCAGCAGGGGGCAGAGGGCTCAGAGAAGACCTCTTTACAGTGACCGTGTCCTTTAGAAACCTGTCATCAAATGCTGCACCTCAAAGGAATATATATATATACACACACACACACACACACACACACACACACACACACACACACACACACACACACACACACACACACACACACACACACACACACACACACACACACACACACATACATACACCGGGCTTTCCAGCTTTCTGCAAAAAAGACACTTTGCCAGAATAACAAGATGCTCCATTGTTACGTCCAAATGAAAAGTTTTGTTCCTAAGTGAGATATCCACTGTGTAAAGAATTGCACACCTGCTGTGACAAAATGATTGCAGGCATGAAAATAACTCTCACTTTCTCTCTCCACTTTTTAAAAATTGACAAATAGCCTGATGTTTGGAAATTAAAACACCGATGTGAGAATTTCTACAGCTCGAGAGGCACTTCAGAGCAGTTTCCAGTTGATGTAATGCGTGAAATAAAATTATGCAAGCCTGTTTGAAAAAAAAAAATATATATATATATATTTCTTTGGATGGAAAACTCCCCGGAGACGTTCTCGACAGCCCTATTCAAAGTGTTGCACAAAACTGTGTCAGATCCGAGAAAGAAAATGCGTCAGAAAATGCAGCTGCACGTCCCTTTGAGCGATGAAAATAGTTCCTCAAAAGAAGGAAGCGCATCGTGGGGATTGTATGTGTGTGTGTAGCTCAAAGTGAAAAGCACAGAAAGGAGAGCGGATTAAAGGGCAGAGAGGGGACAGGCGGGCTGTATCGAAAGCCATCAGCTCCTCTGTGAACGCCGCAGAGCCGAGGTGCTGCGTCCCCGTCAGGACCGTGACATTCAGGGCCTTCTCGCTCTCTGACATTCTAATGGCATCTTTTATGGAGATTTCACATTTCCCTGTCTGTCCACGGGAAGGACGGCGCCCTCCCTGTCTCTCTAAAGGTTAGAGACGAGGTGACACGTCGACGTTGATGCTCGGATGTGGATTCAAAGCAGGGCGAGCGCAGGAGGACGGAAATGAATCTGTAAGGTCTTGTAGGAATGAGTGTCAGAAAGAAAATGAATTGGAAATGAGCCATGCGTCCTGTGGGACCCACGTGTCTGCAGAGGTTTTGTAAGTTACCCCCCTCCTCCTCCTCCCCACGCCGCCCCCCCCTCTCTCTTTCATTCGCCTTTTTCTCTCCTTTTTTCCCCAGGTGGTCATGAGTCAGAGGCTGGGCAGCAGCCTGAGGAGGAAAGTCAGCGAGACTGAAACTCAGCTTTTAACGCTGCATGAAGCAAAGCTGGCGTCCATCTCAGGTAAACGCTCACCCACCACGCCCTGTCCACGTCTTTCATTTACCTCATTGAGTTGAATCGCCCACCATTAGCCTCACTTAATGATGCTATTAATGACCGAGGCGCTCATTAAAAGGGCGGCGTATAAGCTTAATGTGCTCCTGCGGTGCATCTGTGCAGGTAATGACTTCAGCAGTGCCAAGGAGCTGAAGGCGGAGATGAAGGCGGTGTACCTGGAGCGGGACCGGCTGGAGGCGCTGGCCAAGCGTCTGCACAGCCTGAGCGCCGGGAGCAGCCAGGAGCTGAGCAGGATGAAGGAGCAGAGGCAGCAGCTGAGGCAGGAGCTGGAGCAGAGAGAGGCCGTGCACGGTGAGTCAGAAACGAGAGGCATGAACCGAGTTTACACACAAAGAGTCAGAGGAGGAACTGAGCTGCTGAGGGCGACGTGAGGAAAATCAAACACTGAAAATCAACCTCTTGACTGAACAAAGACTTTCTAAGGTTAACGGTGAAGTGCATCTTGACTTCTTGACTCCTTAAAACCTTCAAGTACAAGACGGAATAGATTTAGATATTCACCTCTTGTTCAGTCTGAACACCTGAAGGAGCCTGTGCTTAAGGTTTCAGGGTGACTGAGATGGTCTGAACACACCTTTAGATCAGTGCTATCCATGATTGAATAGTGGAGATTAACCCCTTCTTCGTGCACCTGTTTGAAGGGTCTTCTAACAACCTGCAGATAAACAGAGACAGATCTGTTCTGTGGTATGAAGTGATCCTGTTACTGATGGAGCCACAGCCTCTGCTGATGAATTTGGGCCTCCTGAAGCTTTTGTTTTCTTTGGTTTTAATTCCCTTTTCAATACAACAATAAGTCCTCCATCTTGGCCGCAGTTTTTACAGTCATTCTGTGGGAAACACTAATGGATGTAAACTGCATCCTGATTGGTTGGCGGGGGCAGACCCCCACAAGGTGGTAATTATAGTAGAAAGGCACCGCTCTCTTTCCCTTTGAAAACACCTTTTAAATATGAAACTGAAAGTGAGTGATGAGCGCTCTTTGAAACACGAGTGGTCTCTTGATGTGGCTCCACGCTGCGAGACATCAATGGGCGACGACTTTACTCCCAAATGAAGGAGAAGTGATCGTCCGTCTGCGGGGGGCGAGGCCTCAAATGAGGGACTAGCAGGAGAAGAGCACGAGGAGGAAATGAGCTTTAGATTGTGTGAAGTAGCCAATTACCTCCGAGCCGCTCAGAGCAGACACGATGTATCAGCGCGCACACACTCTGAAACGGGGAGCAGGTCTGCTTGAAGAAGTGGTTTACTTTTTAAAAGGAGGGGGGTCGGATCGGTTTGGACTGCGGGTCTGGCAGAGAGATAAATGGATTTTGACGGCACCACCTGCAGAGCTCCCGTCTCTCTCTCTCTCTCTCTCGTCCATCAGTCACAGCGAGGTTTTAAAAAAGGTCACTTCCCTCTCTGAGGCTTTGAGACAGGAGGACAGAGGGAGGGGGGGGGGGGGGGTGACGGATCTGCAGGACTTGAGAGATCGGCGACTGTAAGGGGGATGGACGGGGAGTCCCGCTGCAACCATCTCTCTAAAAAGCACTGTTAACTACATCATTAAAGCCGGTAGTCGAGCATCAGACCCATTGTCTTGTCTGGAGCGTACCCTCTGCTGGCACTAGGGGGCACCCTTTCATTGCTGCAGAACATCCAGGAGGATTTTATGGTGTATTTGGAAATGCATGGACTGTTTGTTCATTGAAGAAAAGGTGCATTATTTAATATTGTCTGAGTGAAAACAGGCTTATTTTTCCCTCATATTGGATTATGCATCACTTTCAGAGAATGAAAATCAGTCCCCTGTTTAGTTTTTGTTACCTCAAAACAGACCTGATCACCTTGACTTGCTAAACAGCCAATCAAAGCCTTAATCCCCCCCCCCCCCCCCCGACAGCCAGCAGAAACACGTTCAAGTTCACCTCAGCATCCTAAACATGCTGCCCCCTCACTCAGAGTAACACAGCCTGCAGGAAACTAGTGACTAAAAAATGTTGGAGCTGAACAAAGGAACCAGAATCAGGTGAGAAAAACGTCACAAAGTGGGAAGAGGCAGCGAGTTAATGAATGGTTGCGCGTCTCAAACGCTCAAGTGGGTGCACACACAATATGGCAGCAATGTGTGTTTGTGACACCGAGCGGGGGTCTCATTACGCTGTCATCCTATTTGGTAATAAGGGGCTGGAAACTGATAGCTCACAAACAGCACATTAGCATTTCTTTAGCTGGAGGGGATTAGAAATTATAGTCTACTTCAAAGTCAAGATGGCCACCCTTTTGGTTTCGGAGGCGTTTTTTTCTTTTCTTTTTTTGCGCATGCTAATGAAGATAGTGTCAGATTATGACGAGACAGACGTGCAGCTGCTCATGAAAAGGACTTTTGTTGAGGTTTGAAATCCGTGAAAAGATTTGTATTTCAGTTAGAGACGCATGCACACAAACTTTCCTCAGGGCATGTGTGACTTTATGAGAAGAAAAACAATTTGATATGAATTCAAATATCATGAACATAAAGAAATGAAATAGCTAATGGCTTTACTGTGCAGGCTTGACCATGAGCTCTAAATTCATAGCTCAGCTTGAGAGCTCCTAAATCCAACCTGAAGGACCCCGCTCCCTCTTGTTGAGCTTCTCCACCTCGAGTATGTCATGGTCTGGTGGGGGGAGGGGTTTGGCCTGGGAGCCATTATGCCCCTAATTGCCACTGGCACCAGCTCTGATGAATACCAAAACCCATCATAGGCAGGGATCTGGTTCCCTGCTGAGAGTATAATTTTGTCCCTGAGAGATGTGGAGTGAGACTAAATATACAAATAAATAATTGAAGAGATGAAGAAGGAGTAAATGGCCCCCCGGAGCGAGGACATCCAACTCTAAGGTCAGTGTGAGCTCCTCTTCATTTACACAAGTGTTCCAGAAACGCTTATTTAATGGCGCTATGTTAGCATGCAGGCGCTACGTGCTGCAGCAGGCAGGTCACATGGCTGTTATGGGACACATTCGCTTTAGGGCTGTGAAATATTCAAAAAATAATAATATCTCGATATTTGGAGGATTTTTTCAGATAACGATAAGTGCTGATATTTTGCATCCCTTAAAGAATGTGTCTGTAAAAGGGTATTGTAGCTCGCTCTTATTTATAGTACTCTATGAGTCTCATTCATGAAGTTAAAACTGAGTCTTTTAAGTAAATATAATTTAAAAAAAAACTATGAATCAGCAGAGCAGGTAATGAGATCAAACTGTGCAGGTCTGAAAAAAAACATTTCAAAATGGTCGACAGGATTTACTTTGTTAAACTTTACACAAAGACCAACAAAAGATATAACAGGAGCATTTCAAACTGAGTGAGACGGGATGTATCTCGAGTCCAAAGTAGATTGAAAACATCTCTCACGACCACTTGAATTGGCAAAATGAAAGTGGTGACGGCGTTCCGTTATTTCTCGCCGTCAGCTGCTGTTCTTTGTGAATGACTCTGCCAAAATCTCCTGAGAGTGTTTTTGCTTTGCTGGTACCTGAGCGGCTCAGTCGTGGTCGTCACTCCCAGAGCTTTTCATATTCTTCATATTCTGTGCCGTGGTTAATTTGCAGATGATGAAAAACGTTATATTTCTGCACCCGCTTTCCGACAGTCTGCAGATTTGCAATTTGCGTCTCGAAAAGCAGACCACCTCCAAGCGAGGCGGCTCATGCGAGTGAGCGTGAGCCGCGTTGATTCCGAGGCTGGTGCTGTTTGTAACTACATCCATGGAGGCAGCTACGCTAACTTAGCTTGTTGTGATGCTTGAACACTGCACATGTTCTCAATGTGCACGTGAAGAAGTCCTTCCTACTCGACTCGATCATGTGCAGTCAATTAAGATATTATCCTAAACGATTTATAACGCATCAATCATTAAACTAACGGAGATTGAATCATTTTTAAAACATGTAGTTTGCTCCAATGTGTAAATCCGTCTAATGGGGAATGTCTCGCTGCTTTCTGCCGAGCTCTATGTCGGGCGCTTTTCTGTCGTCCAAGAGGCTCCGAGTTCTCTCCATTTATGTTGAAATCTGTCTTGATGTTGTCAAGGCAACATGCAAACTAAATATAATCCCTGATTCATCAAACTAACAAACCTGTTTACAGAGAACTCTCTCTGTCCTTCTCAGCGTTTAGAAACTCGTCAGATGCCGAACGTTCATCAGAACGCGTCACTCTGTGTTAAAACACTAATGCCACTTTGTCACAATGGAGAGTCGATAGTGAAGGCCGGGAAGTGTTTGATTTATTCATGTGTGAGGCTCGTTCAGAGCTCTTCTGTGGAGAACATGATGGAACGTGTGACAGCTCTCCTCTCCTGAAGAGTGTCTGAGTGATGGAGAGCAGCGAGGTGGTTAAGTGGACCCCGGAGAACGCTTCCTGCTCTTTGTCTCTCGAGTTTCTGCAGGACCCGTTCTCCCTCTGTAGAGAGATGTGTTTCCATTGTCAGAGGATTTTAATGTTTTAAACAAAGGCAGCTGATTGAGCGACCACGACAATAGGTGTAGCTCGGCATCAATCAATTCCTTTTCTTTAAAGTCAAACAGTTTAAATGATTTTCATCGTGTTGGTTTTTCTTACGTCTACCTGCACTGCTAACAAAAGGGCCGCTTAATTAAGTTTGAATCTGCTCGTGTTAAAACATGATGGCAGCATCACTCTAAGGATGGCGATGTCCACTTCCTGACATTGGAACAAAACTAGTGAATGACAAATCAATCGCTTTTCATTAAAGCAACAATCTGTAACACTACCAACTTAAAACACTCGTTTCAAAATCGATGTAATGGAACAATAACTTCTAACAGGGAGAATGGCGTCTCTCTCAGGTCCACAGAGCGCCCCGGTCGCCTGTTATCAGCACTGTGTAACTTTGCCAGCGTGCTGCGGTCATGTGCGTACAGCTTTACCTGCACCAGCTCCCACAGCAGGTCTCTGAGGGCGCTCTCACACTAGGTTCCATGTTGAAGCACGATTGCCATGATTGTCGACTGACGAGGTTCAGGTTGACTCTGCTAGCGTCTACAGCCCGTTGTTAGCTAACCGTTGGCACGTGTATGTGCATTCAACTGTTACCATGACGACTATAGGCTGTGGCTAAATGGCTTCCGGTGCTTCTGCAGCAAGCCTCAAGCCGATTCTTGATGAAATGCTCAACCTTTGCACTTCCGCATTAGCTTCATTTTTCAACACCGGAGGTCTCCGCTTGGTTTCAGTGGAAAGATCGGACAGATACAGGAACACGTGTATTTGTGGAGAGAGTTCGGAGCGTTCAGTG